GCGATATATATATATATATATAAAGTATATACTATATAAAGTATATACTCTTCCGATCCTAAATATAAGGCCCTTTTCACACTACAAAAAGAGGGTCTTATATTTAGAACTGGAGGAGTATGTTATATTCATTTTATATACTAACTCAGGTTCTTAATATAAGAGTTAGGTTGGCTTTTAATTTGATCTTAAATATAAGATCACAACATACTTTGTCTATCATATTTATGTATTTTTTTTCCAAGTACTCCTTGTAATAGTTGTACATGTTAAAATTTAAAATGTTCTAGCTAATACACATAATTAGTAATGATATTTTAAAGAAAACAACACCTATATATTATAAATAACTAAACTAATTTTTTTAATCCATTTAAATTAGTCAACCCGCTCTAATATTAAGTTCAAGATGTAATAATTTAAGTACTACCTTCGGTTTTTTATTATAAGAATTAGTTAACTAATTTGAGTAGATTAAGAAAATTAGTTACGTTAGTTATGTATAATAAATAGATATTATCTTTTTTAAAATGTTTTTGCCATTTAAGTGTATTGATTAGAACTATTATTATTACAAAGGTTATGTTAAAAAAATAGATAAATATAATAAATAAATTTGATTAAAATCTTATATCCAGAATCAAAATAAAAACTAAACAGATTCCTATATTTAGGATTTGGGACCGAACGGAATATAATGTATTCACACCTAAGCATGCCCAAAAATAGTGTGTGTGTGAAGCGCGTAGAAAGCAGAACAAAAAACAAGAATACATGCAACGTGAAAAATGTTTGGAATTGTAACGGTGACCATATTGAAACACAGGGGCCCACCACGACACAGACACATAGTCCATCTTCCATTTTAATATGATTATAAACCTGGCTCAAGACCAGGACAAATCAAGTTGCCTTACCGGTCAACATATAGAAGTTTGAGTTTTCAAGATAATCACTGTGCTTTAATTATTTTCTCCTCTGATTAATCATTAAATTAATTAAAGATACATTTAATACTTACCATAATCAACAGCCATGGGTTGTTATACTCTCTTCAGACCTTAATATAAAACTTAGTTAAGAGAAAATTATACTTTAAAATATAAGATGTTGTCAAGATAATTAAGATGATTTTTTTCATTTTCGTTCCTATTAAATGTAGGAGAGAGGAGAAAGATAATAAATAACAAAATTATAATATCAAAAATAAATTTATTATTTTTAAGAAATAAAATAGGAAAATTTTATCATGACATATTTAATAGTTAAATTTCTATTTTTAATATGTAAAAAATTAAATAATTTTTTATATTATGAAGAGGGTGTGCGTGTGTGTATGTATATATATGTACAAAGAGATTCTGTACATACCTCCTGCTAACACGTCAAACCATTTGGATCCACAAGGTTTTACTATTTTGAACAGTCTTTTGAATTTGAAAGGCGTGCTTGACTTTGAATTTATTTCTTCCATTCTCTTCCATATTCTTTTCTCAAAACTCAGAAACTCACCGACTTGCCGATCAAATGGATATTCCCTTTTTTTAAAAAAAAAAAAAAGAGAAAGCAGATTCAGGTCCCTTGCTTTTTGATAAAATACTAATAATTCAACACGTTTCCTCTTATCCAGCAGCGCTATAAATAAAGCCCTAGCCTTGCTTCATTGGCACATGTGCCAGCAATTTTAGCCGCTGGTTTCCGGTTCTCTCTCAGCCTCCTTCTCAGCTTCCTCCCTCAAATTGACCTTCCTGGCTCTGCATATGTGCATGTGTCTCGCTTTGTTCAGTCACAGGAGTGCAGAAAGTTTGAGGCTTTGAGTTTATTGAATACTTTATCTTCTGGGTTTTGCTTCGACAAGGTCTTTTGTTTCGACTGAGGATTAGTAAAGCCGCCGTCTTCTTTTGACTTTGTTCTGCTATGGATTATTCGTCGTTGGTTAACACTTCCTTGGACCTCAACCTTAATCCTAATTCAGGAGTCAATGAAGAGATTCCTGTAAGTAAAAAAATGAGCATGTCTTGTTGTGTCTTCTCGTGCTTAGATATGGTTTGAATGTTTACTGATGCGGGAAATCTTTCCTCTGTGTTGTTCAGAAAAAGGAGGTGGAAAGCAACTTTTTTGCATTAGAATTGAAGTCGTTTCCTTCAAGACAAGAGGTTAGTTCGTTGTTTCTGGAATCTGTGTTTTCTCTTTTCTGGGTTATGGAAACTTCTACTGATCTCTGGTTGATTATATTAGTTCCTTGTGTATGACTTATGTCTGATTAAAGTAGCTTAATGGATTTTCAGGCGAATGGTGATCTGGAGGAGGAATTGAAGAGGGTGAGTGCAGAAAACAAGAAGCTGACTGACATGCTCACAGAGATGTGTGATAATTACAATACTTTGAGGAACCATTTCTCTGAATATATGAGAAAGAACAGTAATTCAGAAAAGGAGATGAGCCCACCAAAGAAGAGGAAATCTGAAAGCAGCAATAACAATGGCAATCCAACTGGGGCTGATGGAAACAATAACTCAGAGAGCAGCTCAACTGATGAAGAATCAAGCAAGAAACCAAGACAAGAGATCATCAAAGCAAAAATCTCTAAACTTTATTTCAGAACACCAGCATCTGACACATCCCTTGTAAGCCAAAGACATGACTAATATTATTTTCATCAACACTTGTGTTTTTATCCTTCAACATGAGTACTAAATATGTATTTTCATTTCTGATTCCAGATTGTGAAAGATGGATATCAGTGGAGGAAATATGGGCAAAAGGTGACCAGAGACAACCCTTGCCCAAGAGCGTATTTCAAATGCTCTTTTGCTCCCTCTTGCCCTGTCAAAAAGAAGGTAAATTAAAGTACCAATAATGAACTAATCATAAGGAAATTGGATAAAAGAAGAAAAATAAGCCAAGTGTTGTGTATTTGTTTGGTTATTCAGGTTCAAAGAAGTGTGGATGATCAGTCCACTGTGGTGGCAACTTATGAAGGAGAGCATAATCATCCACAGCCTTCTCAAATGGAGGCAACAGGATCAGGTTCAAGCCGAGGCCTAACATCATCTTCTCTGCGGCCTTCTCCTCCAAAAGTTACAGTTGACATGGCAAGGTCTAAGTCCTTCAATGAATCCACACACTCACTGCCAAAGCTTGATTCGTCTGAAGTCCCTCAGGTTTTGGTGGAACAGATGGCTACCTCGTTAACCAAGGATCCCAATTTCAGATCAGCACTTTTAGCAGCCATTTCAGGAAGAGTGTCGCACAAGAATTAGACAGAGAATTTGAGTGTAGTTAGCTTGTAGGCTGTTATCAAGAAATCCAAGATTGGATTAGTTTTTTATTTCAAGCATGGGATCTGCGTGTAAATATAGCAGAGAAAATTGGGAGATACGCCTCAAATGTGATTCTTTTTACTCAGGATAGCGAGTTGGCAGAGATTAAACATGAGCTAAAGGAGCTCAGTTCAGCCATTTCTGATCTTCTGAATCCGAGGAGAAATCAAACAGAGATGCCCAATTTAAATGCCACCAAAAATTATCCAAAAATGAAAGGAACTTGTCTTTTTCATGGCATGTGAGTCCGATCCTGTTACTGTGTAATTCTTCGATGATCAATTAGTCACTTTCTCTTCACATTATGCGTGGATTATTAAGATATAAAGCATTTTTGATAATGAAATAAGGATCTAAGACTTTTGATTCAAAGATTGATGTCTTGAGCACAGTCAAACCTGATGAAATTTGCTGCTCCAAAGTTACCAAATTATTAAGGTATACCGCATAGAGGCCTAATTAATTGAAGGATACTCACTTTGTTTAGACCTGTTCTCTTGTTTAGATTGCCCTTTGGAAACCCACTGTGGTCAGCGTAGGTTTAACGTCTATTAACCGAGATACTTAGATATTATTCATTAAAGACATCTCATGTTAGTAATGACATTTGAATCCGTATCTATTAAACCCAATTTTATTGGCAACTATATTTAATTTCACCCATTTAAGATCCGTGGATCCAGCAACAACATTGCTGGCCCACAAACGGATAAGGATACTTGAATCCTGATCTCTCTAGAAGGTTTTCTGGCTTGCGCGCTCTAAAGCTCTGAGCAAATCTTGGACCAAAGAACAAACTTGATGACTCTTTCTAGGCATAATCTAAGATGAATTATTTAACAGTTTATTGTAAAAACATTGAAATTGATTGGCTCATTCGGTGTGCCAGTGGGATTTCCTTCTTAATTGGGCCATTGCATCGCTTTGTCTGCTAAGGCGTTTTCTTTATATTACTGATATTTTGTTTGCTATGAACCAAGGACCAACCCCTTCACGCGAATCACATTGGTCAAATGTCTGGAATTTCAACCAGCAACGCTTTGTCGCTAATTTCCTTGGATTAGGTAATGAATAGAAAATATGAAGCACCGAAAATGGAGCCTGTCCTGTATTTTCAAGACCACCGTTTGGGTCGGGGATGCTGACATGGCATAAAAACCACCAACTGGTTCTTGCACATGATGAGTTGTCCTCGCAAGCCATCAGTTTCTTTATAATAGACTACTGGCGAACTGTCAAATTAAATTTCATGGTTCAGACTTCGTGACTTTTAAGTTTTAACACTACGCCGTGAAAATTTGATCTAAATACTCCCGCTGGTCCTTTTTATAAAAACTTGTCAACTACTTTTACAAGATATAAAAAAACTTCTATAACTTTACATCACTGCTCTTTGATTGGTGTAACTGATTAAAGAGTAGGGATGAAAAAACCGTTGAATATTAGCTATAAATGTTTTATTAAATTTTGTAAATAATGTTGTATCAAATATCAATGAATAGATTCTGAAAAATGGGACTGAAGGAGTACATAACTACTGTGAAATTGTAGTGGAGAGAAACGCAGCAGAGAAAATTCAAACTAGCATGGCCATCAGCAACAAGATTTAATGCAAAGGAAAGTTGTTTTAAAAAGAGAGAGAGACAGATATAGAGATAGAGAGAGAGAGAGAGAGAATAGACAGAGGAGAATAAATAATCCACTTCAGTAATTTTTTAATTAATACACAAGAACTTGAATTGCCGGAGTCATTGCGCTTTTCAGATACAGGTTCTTTCTAGCTATTTCTGTATGGATTTGTACACTCCGTTGCCACAAGCAAAGCCTGGTCAACACCGTCAACCAAACTAGAGCCTATCATTTTCAATCATTCTACTTGGACGTGAAGCTCAATTTATCCACAGCAAGCAACAAACCTACCTCCGTGGGATCCTCGTTTGTTTTGTCATTGACCTTAGATGCGATGAGGGAGCCGTCTTTATGTGCTGTTGCTTCGGTGGCTGTACATTCTTTGAATCTGAAGCAACTGATAAGGTGGTCATTTGTTAGCCCAGCCACTTGCATGAACGTGTAGATGACCGTTGGTCCCACACTCCTGAACCCTCTCTTCACAAGGTCTTTGCTTATGAATTCTGCCTTTGGAGATTTGACGGGTACCTGCCGTGCGTATCGGAATTGACTAACTATTGGCTTATGGTTCACAAAGTTCCAGATGAACTTGTCAAAGGAGCCAAACTCGTCAATCACCTGCATGGCATGGGAGGAATTTTAATCACCCTCAAAAAAATTGCTCTGACATCTTGTTTTATTACAAATCTGGTCATCATTTATGACTCATCTGAGCATCATGGAGCAGCTTTCCTGTTTCATTTTCATTCATCTTCTTGGTCGGTGACAGAAAAGTCTGAAATTTAAGGGTTAATTTCCCCGCACTTAGTGAAAAACAAGGCAGACTTGAGGATAAATGAAAGTAGTTACCTTACATATCAAACGTGCGTTTTCAACTATGGCTCGTACCCTGAGTTCTGAAAGCAAAGATGTGGCAGGGCTTCCCGGTGCGGTTATCTTTTTCTCGTTCATTCGGGAAACAGCACTTGGATCGAATTCCAAAAAGACTTCACTGTTTTCAGACATGTCATGTGACAAAAATATTAATTCGGTTTAAACCCAAAATTTTAAAATGCATTTCCCACATAAAAGCCACCTGTTTACTAGAAAGCCAATTGGAAGCAGAACTATAATTTGATGAGTAACATCTTATAATATAATGTGATATATCCATAACATTTGTTTTTAATAACAATACAATCATACCGAAATAATCGCCTTTTGCTAAGGATGGCGGGCCATGTGAGTTCAGCCAAGGCTCCAGAGAAGCTGAGCAACTCAAACAATTTCCTGCATGAAATCATAGAATCATTATGAGGCTCTGTTTGAACCACAAAGCTGAAGGAATAAAGATCGCACAAACACCGCAACAAACCCCACGTACTTGTCATCATGGACAGCAACTCCCCACTCTTCATCATGGAAAGCAACATAATTTGGTTCTGACAAAAAGGAAAGCCAATAAGCAATCAAAGAAGCACATAGGAATCTGCAGCCACAATGTTCTACAGCAAGCCCCCAATTAAGAAAACAGTGAAATCAGACATTTAGTTATCCCATTAAGGGCAAAGGATTCAGGCAAAGTAAACTAAAAAAAAGTTGAATTGTAAGGGAATAATATCTGACTAATATGGGCGATAATATCTGACTAATATGTTTGCCATATCATTTAGAAAAGTTGCTTGTAAAACGAAATCATTCCAGTTGGCCGATAAACAAGACAAGAGGACGTTAATGGCTTCTGTGCATGAAAATCAACCTTTGCAGGCACGATTCATGGCCTTGAGTGGTCTTAAAAGTTGCAGCAGATAGAACTTCAGGGACTGACTACTAAAATTGATCTTATGCTTAGAGATAAATATGATATCTCGGAGTTTCTATGTTGACATCCATATTTCACTTATTCTGAAAAATAAATGACTATAATAAAAGGAAAAATGTTAGATCTGCTAGGATACAACAAGCAAACTCAAGATGAACCAGTATCACAGGGCATAGCAGGCTCTTCTATAAATAATCTAGGACTAACTACAGGGATCTCACCATCCACATCATCAAAATTCGCTGCTTAAAATGAATGCTGATGTAGACTACGAAAGTCTAATATCCATAATTCATTATTAGTCAGAGTATACAAGAGCTTGAAACTGCTCCTCTTGATCTCACATTGGGAAGAACAACAAAAAGTGCACTGTAATACAGCGATCACAGTTAGTGAATGACATTGACACATTACTTAGAGACAATAGTGGTTTCTTTATTAGATAAATAATACGTTAGAACCCCACGGGACAATATTTGATGTCATGTTAGACCTGGAAGCTACCAGATTCAGAATATAGCTTGGCTACTGTTCTGAATTCGATGTCGTGAAACCAAGGATGATATCGCAGTGTGAAGCTGAATCATGTTATGTGAAAGGACAAATAATCCGTAGCCTTTCCATGCCCAATGACTAGTCGATTTACTAAACATGGTTTATTGGGAAGTTTACAGAATAAAAAGACGTGGTAGTGAGATTCAAAAATTAATCTTGCCTTTACTAAAATATCTAGTGTTCCATATTGCGATCAATTGCAACTTTACATTCATGTCTTACTCTTAGGACCCTAATTGTCAAAGAGAAGCGTCAAGGGTACCCATTCCCAACTCTAAAGTACCCAAAATCGCAATGAAGCCTCAAACAAATGGCATCAACAGCTCGATACTTTTGTTGGCCAAAAGAAAGGAAAGCACAATACTTTAAATAAATGCCAAGGAACCAAGGTACCTGTATTAGGTGTAACCCAAGCACACCTTTTCTTGCCCTCCGAACTATCAGTTGAATCTGCCGGTAAGTTATCAGGAACAGCCACATTATCTGTTCCAACCTTTTCACGCCTCTCCGACTTCGGACCAGAGTTCTTCTTCTTCAATGGCTCACTTGTACGCCGCACCACCTTCCCGCTTGACGACGCTCGACTGTGAGTTGAAGAATCCGTTGACGAAGCATCAGATGAGCAAGAAGCGTTCATTGACAAACTGAGTACGGCCTGATGATGATCCTGCCGCTTCAAAATCGTCGGTACTGAAACGCATAGCGGATTTGAATTCACAGCTGGCTTCTTCTCCTTGGCCTCAGGTTCTAGAACCGCCTGCTCCGGTTTCTTGACAGGTTTTGAAGCAGGTTTCCGTCCGTCGGTAGTCCGAGCTTTGTTGCCGGCGGGAACAAGCACCGGCCGGGAGTCGGAATCAGCAACATTCATGGATCGAACTCTGGGTGGGCCCGACATCGCAAGAAATTCTCTCTTCCTGAACTTTGAAGTCAATGCTTGAATGTGAAGTTCAAATTCCAGGCTGCACACAAAATATTGAAAAAAATATATGGCCAAAGAGTAACTACTCTAAGCTCGAAAATTTCGCTTGGTGAAATTGACTACGGGGAATTTAATGCGCTGCTTCTATGATGCAAAACCCTAACGGAAAAGAGAGTTTCAACTTTCAAATGAATTACAAGAAAACAAAACTTTTTTTAAATTTCGTGGCTGAAAAAGCCATGAACTTTAATTGCGGGCGACGAAAACGGCTCCCTTGAGGACAACTGAGAAAGAGTCAAGAAAGGTCGTGAAACGATTTTTTTTTTTTTTTTGGGGGGACAAATTCAAAGCAAAATTCTGATGTTGAAGCTTGGTGGAGAAAGCATCGAATCAAAGGTGGACTGTGAGATGAGAGGGGAGAGAAAGAAGCAGCGGAAGAGAGAGAAAGTAAAGGTTAGAAATCACCATTTATAGCTCGCCACGTAGGAAACGCAGCTCTGACAAAAAGGACAAATTTGTCCGGCCGAAAAGGAATGGAATGTTATCGCTTCTCTTTTTCGTTACAGTGAAACGGCAATATGGTTGTCGTCGCTTGAAAGCTTCGTCCTCAGTCCATAACGTTCCAATTACCCCTAACTACTTTTCTCAAACTCGCAAGTTGACTATCTGAGTTTAATGTTTTTACATTTTCAGCTAATAAAATCGTATCGATTTATTTTTAAACTCGTGATAATTGTAAATTTAGTTAAACTTACGAGTTCATTTATTGAGTTTACTGTTTTTACATTTTTAGCTTACAAAATCGCATCAACTCGTTCTTAAACTTATGTTAAATTTTTTAATTTAATTATGTTTAGTGACTTTATATATGATTTTTATAAAAATTTCTTTGTTGAAATGATACATTATGAACATTGATAGATATAATTTCAATTATTTAAACTTAAAATATATTTAAATGAAATTGTTCTAATTTTGTATATATTAATTATTTGATTATATATTTTTAATATCAGTTTATTAATAAAAGTAAACTCTTACGAGTTTATGATTCGAGTTCACGATCCGAGTTTATATTATTATCACGAGTTTGTTTAAACTCATGAGTTTGACAACCTTGCCCCTAACTAGAAACATATTATTTCTTAGTCTTAAATCTTAATATATGATTTTATTTGTAGTTTAGATTTAAACTAAAAATGAAATCTTATATTTTGAGCTGGAGATAATAATTTTTTTATATTTAGAACCACATTTTAAAAAGAAATCTTAGGAAGATACGAAAACGTTGGTTCAAAATATAACACTTTATTCTTTACCAAAAAAAAAAACATAACACTTTATTGAATAGATTTTCATACCTTAAATGGACCTGCCAATGAGCAAACCACATGATATGTTTTTTTTCTTTTAATTTCCTTTTTTTTTGTTTCACCTAAACAAACAATGACTTCAAGGCTTCATTTGAAATCACATTTGAAATCATTTATAAACATGTTTTAGGTAAGTTAAGATAAAACTTTTGTTGATATAGTTGCTTATATTTCATAAATCATAATTAAAAAACTGTTTATAAGTCATTCCAAATAAGTTCTAAATTTGATATGAAAAAAATTAATAGATGAGTTGGATTAATAAATTCCCAATAAATTCACATTGATAATAAGATTTATTTACATCCTTATGAGCTAACTTCTTGTTAATTTAACTTTTACTGACATAATACCTTCAGTTTTTAATATAAGACTTAATTAACCAGTTTGAAAAAATTAAAATACTTAGTTAAGTTGGTTATTTATAATAAATATTACTTCGGTCATAATTATAAAACTTAGTTTGTAGACTACAAATAAAGTCTTATAATTAGGACCGAAAGTAGTATATGTTTTCTTTTCTAAAATATTATTGTTAATTATGTATATAAGTTAAAACTATCATTTGATGAAACTTTTAACATGTATAACTATTATGAGTGCTATTTAAAAAAATAGATAAATATAAAAAACAAAGTGATTAAAGTCTTATATTTAAGATCAAATTAAAAATCAAACTAGTTTTTATATTAAATATTAGATTTCTAAACCCAAGCTCCAATTGTCTCCCCAAAAAAAAAAACCGTCCAAATCTTGTTTTTAAAACCTTCACCAATCGAGCTAACGGGTGGGTCAGATAACGTGACATTGTACTCCCACATGTGACAAAAGCTCATGATCCACATTATCCATCTCATGTCCACTCATTTAAATTCCAAAAGGTACTTCTTCATCACTCTCACTAACGAAACCAGCATCAGAAGGTACCTTTTTTCGCAGCTCAATGGCGGCAACTTATTTATTTCCAAATCCAAAAGCTTTCTCACCTCTCCTCACAAACCCACCTTCAATTCCTTCCATTCACTCCACCCAAGTTCCATTCTTGAGCTCATTAGACCACCAACCCCATAATGCCAGCAGCACCAGACGAAGCGTTCACACAAATGCCAAGAAGAACCCATGGCTTGACCCATTTGATGATGGGGAGGACCCGACCATGGAGTATGGCTCCCTGTTTTCAGATGGGAAGCAGGAAGAGGATCCGAGGCCGCCCGATGACCCGAATAACCCATACGGTTTCTTGAAATTTCCTGCTGGGTATTCTGTGGAAATAGCTTCTTTGGCTTTGAAAGTGAGAGGAGATGTCAGGAGGTGCTGTTGTGTGATCTCTGGTGGTGTCTATGAGAATCTGTTGTTCTTCCCAGCTATTCAGTTGCTTAAGGATAGATATCCTGGTGTTCAGATTGATGTGTTGGCATCAGAAAGGGGGAAGCAGACTTATGAGTTGAATAAGAATGTGAGGTGGGCAAATGTGTATGATCCTGACGACTATTTCCCAGAGCCTGCAGAATACACTGATATGATCGGAGTTCTCAAGGTTGGCGTATTTCTAAATGTTAACGTTAGTACACTAAAATTTATCAGCCGATGTTAATCTTATAGTTTGACTCAAAATACATGTCAACGTTGGAAGCCAAATTTTTGTGATTTGATTAATAAGTTCTATTAAAGCAATTTGAGAACAGAATTTCCTTGCTGATAAGTCTGACGAGCTTCAGCTTTATTGGAGCGGAGGTGTAATAAGCAAGACACTCTGAAAAAGCTATCCTCTTTTAATCACGCTGGCCGCAAAAATTATGAGCTGAGGCAATGTTATCATTCGTGGAAAAGAAAGAGTTTAGTTCCAAATATTATGCACAACAGACATTAAATCTTGGAATCATATATGAAAGTTCCTAGCTTACATATAATTGTAGGGTCTCTCAATAGTAATGCATTGTTCTTCTATTGTGCCTACAGAACAGGTACTATGACATGATCTTATCAACCAAATTGGCAGGCCTAGGCCATGCTGCGTTTTTGTTTATGACAACAGCTCGGGACAGAGTTAGCTATGTGTACCCAAATGTGAATGCTGCAGGAGCAGGATTACTTCTATCTGAAACATTCAAGCCAGATAGACTAAATCTCTCAGAGGGAGGATATAATATGTGAGTATATAGTAGAGCGCTAAGATTTTAGAGATATTTGGTTACGCTTTTATGCCTTCAACCTGCATTGTCATAAGAATATTGCTTTAACAGAGCAAAATTTGTGAGGCAGTTTATAACTGGTAATTTCCTTTCAATGAGTTTGCTGGTGTAGGTATCATCAGATGGTTGATTGGCTGGGAAGACCATTTCGCAGTGTCCCAAGGCAACCTCTGCCACCACTTAGAGTATCACTTTCAAGGAAGCTGAAGGATTATGTGGAGGAAAAATACAAGAAAGCAGGAGCAGAAAAAGGGAAATATATTGTAATTCATGGGGTACAATCAGATTCAAAGGCCTCAATGCAGTCTAAAGGAGATACTGATGGCTTGTTGCCCATTGAAGTATGGGCTCAGATTGTTGAGGAGATAAGGTATGGAAGGTTGTCCTTGAACTGCGGGGTTGGAAATAAGATTATCATTGCATTGATATAAGCTTTTTAGCCGTATATATGCAATTGTTTCTCATCATGTGACATGACAGCAAGTAAGGACGTACCGTCCTTCATAATGTTCACTGCATCTGTCCTTAAAGCACTTTCTTACTCCTTAGCGGCATGGGTGTGAATTTCCCCTCCTTAATTGCATTGGCATATTCAAAATACAAATCTAATTGATCAAAATGCTTGCATTTTCTATTTTTCTCTTGTATGAGTTTTCAGGGAAGGAATACGATCGATATTTTGCATTTGTATTGCCTTCGGTATTGACATCACATTGAATTATAGTTGCTAGGTTTTGGTCCCCTGTTGAGAGTTGATAGAACATTACTGATAGTATTTATACCTGTTCCGGTTCATTTTAACAGGGATTTTAGGCCAGTCTTCGTGATTCCACATGAAAGAGACCGAGAAAATGTAGTTGAAGTTATTGGAGAAGATGCTAGCATAGTCTTCATCACTACCCCAGGACAGGTACTTATATTACATCTCTCTTATTCAAATAGCAAGCAGTCTATTCTAATTTTAAAAACTAAAAAGGAAACATTGAGATATAAGAGACAGAGCAATAGGCATTTTTAGAACTGTTTTGATGTTTATATATTACTGATGGGATTTCATTTATGTGGTTTCAGTTGGCTGCTCTTATTAATGACTCAGCTGGGGTAATAGCTACAAACACAGCTGCTATCCAACTTGCACATGCACGTGAGAAACCCAGGTAACTTTATCAACAATATAAAGTGTTGGTTAGCCAAACTAAATTCCGCACCATAACAATTAAGCTTTGGAGAAAAAAGTGGATCTTTTAGATATAATTTTGAGGATAAATTACATTAATGATTCTTAAAGAAACCATAAATCATTCAGTCTCATTGATTCAGCCAACGTTAGAATGAGTCTGACATGTCCCTCTTTGTTCCTTCAACTGTAGTATTGGGTTATTTGGCTCGAAAGAGAAGGGAGATCTGTTTGTTCCACAAGCGAAAGAGAAGAAATGCACTGTAATATCATCAAAGACAGGGAAGTTAATTGATATTGATGTTGAGGCTGTGAAAAATGCAATTCAAACATTTAATGTATCCCTAGCTTTAGTGTAATATAACATTATAATGCTTCTATTGTCCTTTTTTCTTCAGGAAGAGAAGGGAGGGGAAAAAGGGCTCTTGTCAAGTGATTATTGTTGCTGTTTTGTTCATATTAATAGAAAAAAGAGAGATATTTCTTGAATTTGAAAGGACACTTTACATGTTTAATGTATCCCTATTTTATTATATATATTTGTATATATGTATTTTGGAGATTTTATTATAATCTAAGGGCTTAATTGCAATAGTTGTTACTAATTTGAGCTAACAAGGAATTATACAAGTAAATGCTAAAATGGGTCTAATTGTTATTTTTTTAGTTAAACTAGTCTACATGAAGGTATTTCTACTTTTTAGTATGTTTCAGGATAATTAGGAACTTTTAATCTAAGCTAGGCCCAAGACACCATTGCAAGGTGATAAAGGATCAAGGAAGGTGAGCTTTCGAGCCCAAAGAAATTGGGAAAAAAAAAACATAGGTGTTGAAGAACCAATAGATTTCAAGATCTTAAAAATACATCTGGGTCAACTTACAACATAGTTATGGTCCATATATGTTAACTTACCACTTATACCTCTCAAATGGGCCATAACACTTTCATTTAAACCCAAATAGCATCTCTTTCATGGTTTTATTGTTAAAAAACGTGGCTTATCATTAATGAAGGGTAGGAAGGTAATTTCACAAGGTTTTCTTTCTCATCAAATCAAAGAAAGTGCCACATTATTAATGAAGAGCAATTTTGGGATTATAAAATTAATTAAATTAAAGGAGAAATTGTTAATATCTAATTAGAGACATCTAGTTAGAGAATATCCTAAAATATTTTTTTAAAATTAATTATGATCCCAAATTCATATTTGAATAAGTCAAAACTCCTATTAAATCCCCTTACTTTCTCTCCAAGTCTTCTTTTTTGATTATTTGAATTATCCTAAATCCTTCTTACTTCCACTCACATTGTGCCAACTAAGCTTCTCATTATCCTAAACCTTAATACTTAAGTCATCTTTTATCTTAATTCAAATATTAATTTAATGACTTATTTTCTAAGCCAAGTCAAGAGATAAAAGTCCTATCCTCTTCCACCTAATCTTTTTGACATTTTTCAATTACTATTATTACTATCATATCCTATGCTATCCTTCCTATTGTGCACGCCATTCTCTCCATTTTTTCTCCATCCATATTTTATATATGACATCATTTAATAGTTTTATAGGTTATTATCTTAGATTATTTGTATAGGATAATTTATTCAAAATATGTAATATTTAAATATATTATCCTAGGATTTATTTGAATGGAAAATCAAGGAAGATATGAGGAGGCTAAATTATTCAAAGATCCAGGGTCCAAGATAAAATAAAGATCATCATCATTATCCCATAAGGAGGCAAGGAGGGGATCAACCAATGCCATAAAAAGAGGTCCACAAACAAGGAGCAAGACATGTCATCTTCACTCACTCTCTACATTACCTACAAGCATCCACTAAGGCATCAAATTCTCTCTATTTCATCTATATAGTTCTGTTTTCTTTCTTTATCAACATGATGTGTTCTAGCCACATGAGTGGCTAGTCTCCTTGTTCTTGAAGAGAGATATTGTGGTTTGAGTTAGAGCTGCACAAAGACCAGGTTGGACCGGGTTAACCCCTAACCCGAAACCCGGTCTGAATTTACCTCGGGTTCTATTTTTTAGCCCGAGACCCGGTCTAACCCGAACTGACCCGACTACTGGACAGGACCGGGTTGGTCACCCCGGGCTGGACCGGGTTCCCTAGACAGTGTCACAAAAATTTCCTAATAAAATTCCTCTTGCACATACAAAGAAAGTAGAAGAGATAGAAACCGAGGAGATGAAGAAGACAACAAATTTGGTAATGAAGTTCTACAGCCTTGAACCTCATCAACAATCAACAATCTTCATAGTTCATAGCAATATATTAAGAAAATTATTTGACAAGCGAGTGAAATGTTATGAATTTTTTTTTTTCATGCACTAAGAATTATTGCAGATAAGCGACGGCTAGGTGAAGGGAAAAAGGAGAAATAATATTGATGAAGATTGAAGAAGCAATAAATCAAATCATGGTGTGAATTAAGATGGGAAAAGAAAAAACGAGAGCTTGAGAGGTAAGACCCAAATCCTACTATGAGTGTAGTCTTTCCTTTTTATACGGCAAAAAAAAAACATGTATTGAAGATTGAAACGTGCACTGGGGGGAAAAAAAAGCCGAGGCCTTCATTTTTGACTCTTCAATTTGAATAGATCTGATATGGGATCTTCATCCTCAGCTTCTGCATATCTGGAAGATGCCGTTGATGAACGCTGAAACACCAACATATCAGATCTGGAATAATGGGGCAAATCTGGAATACTCAAGCCATGGAAAACATAAAAGGAAGATAGATGTTACGGGTGGGTTAGAGAAGGAGAGAAGGAACAACATACATATGTGAAGGATGGAGGAGACATATGGAAGATGGAGGAGGTGACTAAGAGACTGAGACGGAGGAGGCGCCGCTGATAGAAGCAGGAAATGAGAAATGAAGGAATTTAGGGCTTGGTAAAATAAAAATATAAAATATAAAATAAAAGCATCGGGTCAGACCAGACCACCTAGTCTGAAGGGTCAACCCGAAACCCGGTCTGACCCGATGTTCAACTCCGGTCTCGTCTGTCTGAATTTTTTGTTCGGTCTGAATTTTTTTGGGCTAAACTGGACCGGGTCTTATCGGGCTGGACCGGGTTAACTGGACTACTGGGTTTTTTGTTTAGCCCTAGTTTGAGTCCCATGCTTTAATCTAGATGAGTTGTAATTAGAGTTTTTAATCTTTTATGTGTAAGTTTTTATGATTTCCTAGTTTTTGGTTTTGAAACTCTTATATGTGGTTCTTTTGATTATTAATGTGAATTTCTTTTTTAGTTATAATTTGTGAGCTTATCTATAAATCCTTTTTCCTCTAATGATTATTTGATGTTATTCTAATATGTTACTTTTAGGGTTGTATGCGTAGTTATGAATTAAGTTTAGCACTAGCTTACTTTTCAAGAATATATCGTTTGAATATTCTTGTTTTGAGGAATAAATTATAATTGGAATTAAACTTTACATGCTAAGTGGTTCTAAAAATAATTATTTGGTTGATATATATACTAGTTCTAGGTATAGATATTAATTAAATAGTTATGACCTACGTGTTCACCTAGGGTTTATATTTTGACCTAGTACTTTTCTCTTTATTAACTCTTATTAACTATCGGGATAGCCACACACCGATCCTTGGGAAGATTATCTTATTGGTAAAGTTTTTCTTATTCATTATCTTGTATTTTTGCATTTTCTTTACTTTCTTGTTAACCTTAATTAAAAATCAACATTCTCTTCTACTCCTTATCCCTCTTTAATCACATAACTCAACTTAAAAATTATTTTAAAACCAAGTTTTGACTCCACAAGAGATCGATCTAGGATTAGCTCCTATACCACATAGGGTTAATACTAGTAACTTTTTTGAAGCGCCAGCAAAAAGTGAGATCAACGTTTTTTTTTTTTCTGTCTTTAGTTTAAATAAGAATTGAGTTAGAGACCTACTAATTGAACCAACTTTTTTGGCCCACTAACTCCGTTGGTAAAGAGATAAAGATAAGTCTCACAAAATGGCAGAGATTCCCTCTACCCATTGAATTATACGAGGTTTACAGAAAATCACAGGAAAAAAGAAGAAGAAGAAGAAGAAGAAGAAGAAGAAGAGCGCAATTCTTCAAACCTAGTTCTGAAATTTCTTTAATGTTCCATGATAAATAGGAAAATGTTCATCTTTGCTATTCGTTAAATGCTCATATTGTATACTTTAGCTCCATGTTACACAAAAGTCCCCAAATTTATAAATCACACCATATCACTCTGTAGAAGCATGCGCCATTGTTATTTAGTCTATTTGAATCTTTACCAACTACCAAAATATTCCGAAAAGAAACAAATGCAAGTGGTGGAGTCTCCAATCACTGCCCATTGATTTTCTCGCTTAACTTTCCCGGAAAATCTGAGCTACATTTTTGCATCAGTTCATGGAAAAGCTAAAAAAAAAAAAGGTTCACAATTTCTGCTAATAAATACAAAATTATTAAATAAGGATTACAGAGATTTAATTTATATTACATAAATGGAAAAGTAACAAAACCCTTTTTCATATTTTCACTGAAAGTTATAATAGTTCAAGAGCGAATGCTATTTCTTCTTCCTTGCTTTTCTCATCAACGTACGAGGAAAACAACACAGGTTGATATGAGAAAAAGGACAGAGAAAAGAGGTTATAAACCACAAATGTTATTCACTAAATTAAATTCAATATGGAAAAACTTGTGACATAAGCCTAGGTTTTGCATGCATTCACAGAATGGCAAATCTGGGTCTGCTGCAAAATCTTAACCAGATTTCACATTTCAATGATACTTCACCTCACAATTCAAAAGCCTAATGAGAATCTTACAGCGCCTAGCTCTCTCTTCTGTATTCCCACTTACTCTGTTTTTTGACATCAAAGCACTTCTTGTTTTCTTACCCTTTTGTACGCATCATTTGGGGCAATGTGCTCCAATGATTGGTCTCAGTGTGTTTTAAAATTTAAGGTTAAATTTTCCTTTCTCAAACAGGAAAGTTCTAGGACATTGGGACCCCACTGTGCAGTGTGAAAGTATTCCCGATTTGGGAATCAGACACCTAAGCCTACGAAAAATATTGGGATCCAGTAAAGCTTCTAGCTAGGGTTGTAGCCATTTGACACTAGTGTTTTCACAATACTTGGCACCATTCTTTTAAAACATAAACAAACAAAAGAATGGATAGATGAGAATTTAAAAGGAACTTCGTATATGTACGTGTTGATTATCATCATCAACATCGTGACAGTACTGTCCCAAATGTCCAACAAAAACGTGGTGAAGCCCACTATGCTTTTCTCCCACCTCACCTCAGTGATATAATGATGAGAAAGAAAGGAATAAGAATGCAAAAGATTTGTAGTTTTTAATGAGAATCGCTTTTGAAATGTTTATATGTTCGTTTAGAAGAATATTGACAGCTGCTGAATGGGAAATTTAACTAAAAATACTAGCAAACTGTTAGTTGAGGTGGTAGCTTTACTCAATGAGAAGAAGAAGAACACAAATTCTAGGAAGAGCACTGTTGGTAGTGTTTTAACCATAAACATTCTCATGAGAGGGATTAGTCGATAGAAAAACAAAAAATTAACCAAGAACAGAAAGATTTGTTTAGTTAGTCATTTGGACTTCTCTGATTTACTTTCTAAGACTTGAAAGAAGATCTTATCATTTCAAATCTTGAGATGTTTCAATCCGTATACTTTTTATATAAGGATAACTACACTTTCTATCTGGAAGAAATGACAACTACAGTGATTGCAGAAAAACCTTACCCTAAACTAATCATGTCTTTCATTTTTGTTAGTCATGATTATCTCCTTGTTGACTTTTCATGAAGGTGAGTGTGAAGAGAAGACCCTTTAACTAGTGCTTTTTTCCCCTTTTGAATTTTATTTTCCTTCTGTCAAATTAATAAGGCCAGATACCTCAAATGTCAGCAATAATTGAAGTCATGTCTGATATAATTTATTCTATTGTCATCTCATAAAATAAAGAAAAAGGTAAATGGTTGCAACAATGCATCATTTGGATATTGCCGTGTGTATTAGATCACGCATTATAGCCCTAAAAGATAGGATCATGATAGAATAGAAACAAGAGAATGGAAGTTTAGATTTTTCCTTTTTCTTTTTTCCCAAAAGAATAAAGGTCCACTAAATTCAGGGGGAGGTGCCACGTCAGCAAATTCCAGGGCGTTTTAAGGGGGGCGTGTATATGTGTGTTTGTGTTTATATTTACATCCCATGCCTTGAAAAAACATAACCCAGAAGAAGCAAGGGACATACATAAATATTGGCCTTCCTTCTCTGTTTTTATTGAGTCACTATGTCTCTGAAGATAGCGGCTGAAAGTTGGCCAAAACCACCATTAGAGACCGTACAGTCAATGAATGAAGCGGTGGTCGTAAGAGAGTATGATGAAGAGAGACACAAGATTGCAGTAGAGAAAATGGAGAGTCTTTGTGAGGTTGGGCAGAAAGGAAAGCCATCTCTTGTCACAGACCTTATGGGTGACCCCATATGCCGTATTCGTCACTTCCCAATACACATCATGCTGGTAAGCAAATCCTGATTCTAATGTTCAACTTCAGTTTTTTATTTAAAGGTGATAACAGGGATATATGTATTAGCGTTAAGTAGAAGCAGAAGTCCCACATTAAAATATGGTAAGACTATATAAGGCCTTTTGTAAGAGGACTGATTGACGTGTTGCTCATGACTATGGTCTCTCACTAAAACTCAACGTGAGATGAAGTCAAAGTCATATCCATATCCTTATTGACCTCATAGTTAGAGATTGAAATCTTAATACTTGCTTGTATATGTGTTTGAAGCAGGTCGCAGAATATGGAGAAGAAGGAGAAGTTGTTGGAGTGATAAGAGGATGTGTGAAGACAGTTGCAAGAGGGAGTTCAGTCTATGTGAAGGTGGCTTATCTTTTGGGGCTCAGGGTCTCTCCAACAAGAAGGTACCATTCTATTCTTTCATATGCTCCCAGTTTTCTATGTTTCTGCACTGCACATTCCATGAAAGTGTCCAAGGGAATCCAAAGAAACGTGAGAGGCACTGTTCTTGAATTGATCCTTTAACCTTAATGCGTAGTTGAGTTTAATGCACGCGTTTCAGACTAAAATATACTGAAAAGAAAGAAAATATCGAGTCACAACAGTTTCTGTTTTCTTTTCTTGAACCACAACAATCACAAGTGTTGGGTTCAGAGACTGTTTTGCTAGTATCTTCTTTTCTCTCCACAGGTGGTGTGATTTCTTTGTTCTAATTCCTCTCTGACATCATAGAATAAGCAGAAAAACGGGAAAAGATATTGTGAGGGGTGGGAGGATTAGATTCCAAGGAAAAGACAGATAATGTTCCTCGTATCATGGAACAGTGAAAAAGCAATTAGCCAGCTAGCCCGGCACTGACACATGTATGACAAATGTATCCACTAAAAATGCCTTTTTAAGAAACTATGAACTATGAACTAGGAACTAAATAGGATGTCTTATTTTATTCTCAACTATTTCTCTGAATTTGGTCCCCGCGTGTGCCTACTTTTTTCTTCAGTTCCAATCTTCCTCATGGTCCTGTTCTTCATTCTATTAACTCTATGATCTCTCTTCATTATATGAACATATAAATAATGGCTTCAAAATCCGCAGGAGACTTGGCATTGGCGCAAAATTAGTTGAACACTTAGAGGAGTGGTGCGAGCAGAAAGGGGCAAAGTATGCATATATAGCAACTGACTATACAAATGAACCATCCATCAATTTGTTCACAAAAAAATTTGGCTACTCAAAGTTCAGAACTCTGACCATGCTGGTGCAACCTGTTCATGCTCACTACAAGCCTATAACTTCGAGTATCACCGTGATTCGCCTTCCACCATGCCTATCCAGGTCCATATATAACCGGTTGCTTTCCAATTCAGAATTTCACCCAAAAGACATTGACTTAATCTTGTCTAACAAGCTCAATTTAGGGACCTTCATGGCCATCCCCAAGAGATATCTCTCGAAGTGGGATCCAAAAACAGGCATTATTCCTCCAAATTTTGCCATGTTAAGTGTGTGGAACACAAAGGAAGTGTTCAAGTTACAAGTGAAAGGTGTTTCACCATTAACACAAACCTTCTGTGCAGGGACAAGGATATTAGATTCATGGGTTCCATGTTTGAGGCTACCTTCCTTTCCTGATGTCTTTAAGCCATTTGGGGTTTATTTCTTGTACGGATTACACATGGAAGGGAAGAATAGTAGGGTTCTCATGAGATCACTGTGTGAATTTGTGCATAACATGGCTAAGGATGATGATGGTTGTGGGGCTGTTGTGACTGAACTGGGGCAAAGGGACCCAGTTAGAGAGGCGGTCCCACACTGGAGCAAGTTCTCATGGGCTGAGGACGTGTGGTGCATCAAGAAACTGGACAAATGTGAGCCACTTGATTGGATCATATCCGGATCCTCTTCACCAGTAATTTTTGTTGACCCTCGTGACTTTTGAAAAGTAATTAAATAAACATAGTAACAAGCAAAACTGCAGGATGTGGTAGTTGGTAGCTTCTAGTTAACATATATGAATATTGAAGAAATGAATGTATCATTCTACAGTTCTGTGTTGCATTTTCGTTTAAGAGACGTGTCACTCAGAAACCTGCAGGATGGTAGAGATTAGTTTAGATCAGTTCAAACATATGTAACCTCAATAATGTATGGGGCAATTCTTTTCTTTTCTTTGTTTTGTTTGGCATTTTGTAACTTCCCCATCTTGACTATGTTGTATTTACCTCAGTGTCAAATTCTCCAGATTCAACTTTAATGTTGATGTCTGTAATAATCTTAACAAGATCTACGAGTAAGCTGGGTCAATCTGCTGTCTCCACATAAAGCAAACTGCAAAAATATTCCTACAACCAATTGATAAAAGGTGTATGTTTATATTATCTTCGGTTCTTAATATAACAGCTAGTTGACTAATTTGAATAAATTAAAAAAAATTAGTTAAGTTTGTTATTTGTAATAAATAGATGTTATTAGGGCTGTTCACGGGACGGATCGGGACCAGGACGGGTTCCGTCCCGGTGAACAGTAACGGGACAGAAAATCTGTCCTGTGTCCCGGTCCGTCCCGGGGTTGTCCCAGTCCCGGTCGGGACGGGACAGATCCGGGACGTCCCGAAGTTTTTTTTTTAATTTTTTTAAAAAAACCTGATTTTTTAACTATATTTTTTTGAGCTTAAACCTTATAAAAACATCTTTTTATTTTCTTTTTTATTTGTTTGGACATTCTTAAACAAAAGCTCAAAATATTACATATAATAGTCATTAAAAGCTCTAAACAAAAGCTTTTAACACAATAAAAATTTGCTAAAAATTCTAATTATCAATAATATCAAATCATTAACAAATATAAAAACTCTAAATAAATATATCCATAGTTCCATACAATAGTCTCAAATCTTAAAAAAATATGAAAAAATAATATTATATAAATAGGATAAAAAATAAAAAAAAGGACCGTGTCCCGTCCTGTCCCGGTCCCCTTTTTTGTCCCATCCCGTCCCAATAAGACCAGGATCGAAACGGGCCGATCAGGACGGGCCAACCTTGAACACCCCTAGATGTTGTCTTTCTTAAAATATTTTTATTAATCAAGTGTATTGACTAGAACTATCATTATTACAAGGACTATTTTGGAAAAAAAAAAAAAGAATAAATATGAGAAATAAAATGGATTGGGGTTTTATATTTAGGACTAGAATAAAAATCAAACGAGTTTTTATATTAAGGACGGAAGGTAGTACTTGTTAGTAAGATAAATAATTGGGTTAACATCAAAACTTCCTGAAAGTCTTAACAACTATCAAACACTTGTGTCAATGTTAATGTTTGAACCAAAAATTGAATCGGCTTTACAAAGATTTGATAGAGTTTTATGTTGGTTGTAAAAGTCCAAACACAACTCTTTTCTTTTATCTGAAATTGAGACCAGCTACATAAACCATAGGCAAAGTTCCATAGAAAAAATGTTAAAATATACTATCTTCGGTTCTTAATATAAGACCTTATTTGACTTTTATTTGGTTCTAAATATAATACCCTAATTCACTTTGTCTCTCATATTTATATATATTTTTAAAAGTAGTCTTTTTAACAATAGTAATTCTAGCCCATATACTTGATTAGGAAGGATATTTTAAGAAAGACAACACCTATTTAGGACAAATAACTAACTTAACTTACTCCTTTAATCTCTTCAAATTAGTCAACTAGCTCTTATAATTAGGACCGAAGGTCGTATATTTTAACGTTTTGTAAAAATTTATCAGGATATTGAAAAAAGAAGAAGAAGAAGATCAATTTGTATTATGAGTGGAATCAAATTATAAACATTCATCCTGGACCACCATTTTGAAACCTCACATTGATTTCAACCAGATAACGTACTGGTCCATTTCCATCAAAGCAAATCATGCTTCATTAATGTAACAAGAAGCCAAGGGCATGGGCATCCCGCCCTTTTGAACTTGGATCAAATAAAAACAAACGAAATAATTACGCTCGGAGTAAATAAAACAATTAAGAATAGACTCCATTTATGTTTTTATAAGAAAAGGCTAAGGTTTCACAAATAGAATACAACTCATGACTTAAGAAAAAGGGGAAAAACTTCAAATTTCCGAAGTACTACCTCGGGTCCTAATTATAAGACCACATTCATAGACTATAAATATGGTCTTATAATTAGGACTGGAAGCAGTATTTATAGATTATCTATAAGTTCTCATATTGATTATGAGATTTGAATCCATATTCTCGTAAGATATGGGCTAATTATAGATTAATCCATAGGTCTTCACATCAATATTTGGGATTTGAACTCATATTATAAGATATAGGTCAACTTCTAATTAACTAGACTAATTTTTATCGATAGCTTATTCTACTCATCATAATTTTGTTTATGTGTTTCTCTTTGTAATTTGTGTGGTTTTATTTATAAGTTACATTATTAAATTTTCATATAAATATACAATTATATCCTTGATTTATTATTCATGGAAATAACATGGTTTCAGTAATATTTGGTTCAACACCATTTTTTAATTAATTATATTAGATAGGGAAAATGAGCAAATGTCATAAAAGAAATGTGAAAATCACTAAATTTCAAATCGTAATTTTTATAAAATGTGTTGTTATTTAAAAGTTATATGCAATCAAAACTTATTGAAATGCAGGAAACAAAGTTGATTTAAGATTTAATAATTTTTAAATTCTTTTTGAAAAAATTGCAAATAAAGACTCTTAATATATAAAATTGCGATTTTGGATGCTGAATTTGAAAAATAGCAAATAAGAAATGTATCCCATTTTTGCAAATATGAAATGTGAGTGAAATGTCTGAAATGCCTCTCAACCAAATTGTGATTTGGTCTATTAAAATTGTTATTCGCTAAAGTAAACCTGTCATTTCTCATAATCAACTCGTTATTTGGCATACCTTCAATCAAGTTGCGATTTGGTTTATTGAAATTGTCACTTATTAAAATAAAATTGTTATTTCTCATAGTCAACTTGTCATTTAATTGAGAAACATTTCAGACATTTTACCATGATTTTATATTTGTAAAATTAGAATCAAGTCTTTACTTGTTATTTTTCAAATTAAGGGTCCCAAATTATAATTTTATATGTTAGGAGTGTATATTTACAATTTTCCCATTCTTTTTCTGTCATTTTCTCATAAATTATCTTACATTTTTGTCCCTTAGTTTTCAACTAAGTAATTTCATAAATTGAGGGCATATATGTTAATTTGATAACGATTTTCCTTTCTCCTCCTAAACCTGGCTCATGGGGCGGAAGATCGTGCTGTTTTCCCCCCTCTCTTGGACTTGGGATTTTTCTTTTGACCAAAAAACTTAGGATTACTTTGTTATTTACAGTGCGGTCCAATTATTGGAGCATGACGCTACCCTGCATTTTCTTCTTACGCTCCTTTGATCCCATTTGCCGAATTCTTCCACTCAAAGTCGGGGGAAAAGAGAAGGAAACTTGAGGATCTACACTGTCCAGCTTTCTCTGATGAAATTTCCAGAAGATTGCGGATTGGTAGCACGAGGTCTTCTGCTGAGGATGAGTGAGCATTTCCGTTTCTTCTCTGTTTTTCGCTTGTTTGAGAAGGAACTATTCAATTTTGGGCTTCCGATGGCATTTGGCGCTGAATGCAAAAACCAAAAAAAAAAAAAAAAGGAAGGAAAAAAAACAAAAAAGCTTTTATCGTTGGTCTGTATAATTCATCTTAGTGAGTATCTTTCATCACGGTGGATGTGAAATCTGGAGGTCAACTACCGAATAAAGATCTTCTTACCTTTTCAAGACCTACGTTATTTAAACTGCTATGATATTGTGTAAATTCTTTATTTGTTACACTTCTAGGTAACTAAATTGATATCTGAAGCTACCTGCATCTCACTTATTTTAGGAGTTGGTTATTGCCATCGAATTGGAGCTGTCATGTAAGCAGTTCTGGTCGAAATTTTCGAGCCACGATGGATAAAACAAAGTCAAATACATTCAAGGGATTCAGAACATTTTTGGTTGTGGGTTTCATTGCTTTCCCCATTTTAGTCATAGTTACTCTGGTAAACCAAAACTCAATACCTCATCTCGTTGAGAAATCTTCGAAAACTAATGTGCTGGGTGAAAGAGACCAGAATGTTTCTACTAATGTCTGGAAGGAAGCTGAAAATGTTAGTTTTACTAGAACCCCTCAAGCCATGGGAGCAAAAGTCCAGAATGTTACAGGACCAGAGGTAGGTAAGGCCATTACCCGCAATCTATTTCTATTGTTTATGACATTCTTGTTTTCTCAATCACATATACTTCATCTATTCAAGTTTACTATATCTAATTCTGATGTACTCTGTCTTGAACTGTTTAACCTGCATGTCAAACAGTCAAGGACAATATTTTCGAAGAAAAGGCTTACGATGGTTTACTGGCCTCAGAAGAAAGCATTCCCAAAAAGACAACCTCTGATACTGGTATGACCATTTTTTATGGCTTTATTTTCCACTTTCTGTCATTCCTAGTCACTTTTCCGTATATAAAATGACAGAATTAGTTTCAAGTTACTATAAGAGGTCTTCTGGTTAATGCTATTATGACTTGAAGAATTATAGTTGTTATTCTTGGCTCGCTTGAACTTGAATAGTCGAGATAACTTCCTATTACTATGAAAAATTGGTAAATTACCAGCTTACCTTTGGTTATGGCAAAACAAGCAGAAAATATGCCTATATTCATTACGGTTTATTGAGCGTGATCTGCAATAGTTTTATTGAAACTTCATAGCAATCTAAACTTTTTTGCAGAATCACTGATGGGAATGGGATTGTTAATTTGCCTAGATTTTTCTTTATCTTCTTGCAAATATCTGCAACTTCTCTTTTTCCCGTACCTGCAGGTCAAAAGAACCAATTGATTGCAAATGTGAGTCATGATTCATCTCTATCTGACACTGCTACCAATGATAAACTCCTCAGTGAGCTTCTAGCTCCCACTTTTGATGAAGGATCATGCCTAAGTAGGTATCAATCTTATTTATATCGCAAGGCATCCCCTCATAAACCCTCATCATATCTGATACTCAAGCTACGCAACTATGAACACCTTCATAGAAGATGTGGACCCCTCACCAACTCCTTTGACAAAGTCATGAAAATGGGCAAAACATCTGGCAAAAACGTTGCAGCTACAAAGTGCAAATACCTTGTTTGGACAGCTGCTAATGGCTTGGGGAATAGGATGATAACCTTGGCTGCGGCATTTCTTTACGCCATAATCACAGATCGAGTTCTACTTGTTAGATTTGGGTCTGATATGGTTGGTCTCTTCTGTGAGCCATTTCCCAATTCATCATGGTTATTGCCTCAGAATTTTCCTTATCGCAGAGAACAGAAACATATTGAAACCTATGAAAGTTTACTAAACAAGACACGTGATTCGAATGTGATTTGGCCATCATTTCTAACTCTTAATCTACAACACACCCATGATGGTCACAATAACTTTTTTCATTGTGATCATAGCCAAAGTCTTCTCCAGAAAGTTCCTGTATTGATTTTGAAGTCAGATCAATATTTTTCCCCTTCTCTTTTCATGATTCCATCTTTTGGGCAAGAGCTAAGCAAAATGTTCCCAGAAAAAGACACTGTTTTCCACCATCTGGGACGCTACCTTTTTCACCCATCAAATGAGGTGTGGGATGTTATTAGCAGGTTCTATAAAGCTCACTTGGCCAAGGAAAATGAGAGGATTGGCCTCCAAATAAGAATCTATAATACTCATCGAGCTCCACATCAAACCATCGTTGATGAAATATTAACTTGTGCCTTCAAGCATAGCCTGCTGCCTCAATTGGGCCATCACAAGTCAGTAACATCTCCATCGAAGAACAATCCTTCAAAAGCCATCCTAGTTGCATCTTTATACTCAGAATACGGTGAGAAGCTAAGGGCTATGTATTTGGGCAACACAACTGTGACTGGGGAAGTTGTCAGAGTTTATCAGCCAAGTCATGAAGGGCATCAAAAGTCGAATGATAATGGGCATAACATCAAGGCATGGACTGAAATATATTTGCTGAGTTTGTGTGATGCTTTAATCACCAGCCCCAAGTCTACTTTTGGGTATGTTGCTCAAGGACTTGGGGGTTTGAAGCCATGGATTCTGCAGAGAGCGTATGGTGAACACATCCCTGATCCACCATGTCTACAAGCTGTATCCATGGAACCTTGTTTTCATTATCCACCTAAACATGATTGTAAGGCCAGTAGAATAGTGAAATTTACTTCCCGTTTTCCGCATATTACGAAATGTGAAGATGTAAGTAATGGATTGAAGCTGGTTGATGTTCATCGCTCAGTGACAAATTCGTGACATGAGCGCTAAGTATTTGCCATCATTGTGCCTTCAACAAAGGAGTTATGTCTTGAATAACATTGCTAATGTAGTTTCTTGGCTCTGGAGCTAAAGATCAAAAGCTAATCATTTGCCAAAATGTGAAAGAAGGAAATGCAGTTCCTTTTGATTTAGTGACTCTACGAAGTACGATTTGTTCAGAAAATGAAAGAGAGGTGGTCCCGGCTCCCGCCTACTTTTATGAGGCCAAGAGTTTATCACTTACATCTTATACTGATTTATTATAGTAGGAAGGTGCAGATACTCCCAACAAGACTACTAATTTTTGATAAATGAATGAGAAGCCCTATCTATACATATGAAAAATGAGATCACTGGTTGGATAATATCACATAATAGTAATATTATTGTTTGATTTAATTTATTAAATCTTAGTAGTCTAAACATGTTATTTTCAGGTTAATTTTTAATTTTGGTATGTCATTATAAAAATGCACAGAGGCCAAGAGAATTCACACCTCTTAAATAAGTTCAAGTTTAGGTTGGAATATACTTGCAAAGCGTGTATCTTTCATATCCTTTCATACCTTTTGGGTGTTTATTTGAGCCTTTGAGGGTAATATTTTGCTTTAAAAGTAAGTTTGATGTGCGAAGATGTAAAATGTCGTATCACTGAAAAAGTTGTGAATTTTACTGCCATCGTTATTTGAAATATTCAGAGCATTCTTAGTTTATTGGGAATTAAAATTACACTTAAATCCCAAATAAGAAATTTTATTACTGTCTTGAAATTTTCAAATTAATCCCAAGTCTCAGAGAAATTTTAAGTGAAAGATTACAACTGTGAATTGACTATTTTGTCTTCAGCACCTTCTCTTGTCAATTTCAATTCTTCCACTTGAAAATTATGCCTATGCAAATTGTTATTTTGTGCTGCATCCTGACTTTGTCAATTGGGCCGGCCAATTTGAGTTACAGTAAGTTGTCAAAACATGTTTTTTAACTTATTAATTGTGCGGCACGGAGTGACAATCCATATGTCAATGAGGACACAATAATTAATTCACCATTACAATCTCTCACCTATATGTCTTTTAGAACTTGAGATTAATTTAAACGTTTTAGGTGACCTTGTAGTAATAAAATCTCTTGCTTAGAAGGTGGGTTTACTTTTCTTTTTTCTTTTTTTGTGTGAAAGGTTTTAATTTTCTTTATTCACTGAGTGTTTGTTTATTACTCATAGTTAAGCTATCAATTCAAGGGATTTCCAAAATATAAGGCTAATAATCCTATTGGATATTTGAGACACGTCTGGTAGAAAATTGTTCTCACTACCCTTGCTCCAAAAAATCAATAAAGTAAAATAAAATGCAATAGACTGAAGAACAATGTTTATGCCTTTGGATAATGAGTTGTTTTAGATTTATGCTAATAGTAATTGATAAGTCCACTTTTGCATAAATCGGATGTTAAATAGAGTTTAAATAGAAGAAAATGTCTTTTAAAATCAATTAATGGGCGGGTGCGTATTTATCTTCTTCTTCTTCTTGTTTTTTTATTTCTTTTTTTTTTTTATTTCCTTGGCTAACGGATGCGTATTTATCTTCAGATGTTTTATATTTTTCCAAAACCGATTCCTGAACAGACGCCAAGATCTGAATATTTGATCTGTCTAATGACAATGCTATAAACTTAACTTATTAATCTTTCCATTTTAAAATATGGACTTTTTTTTAAAAAAATTGTTTAATGCAGCATTTAATGATAATCATTGCATTAAATTAAGATCAAATTTGAAAATATGATAAATATTTTAATGATATTTCATTGCATTAATATATACACATATATATATATATATATTAAAAAATCAGATAGGAAATGAATAATAGCTCCAAGAGACTTACGTAAAAAGATTAGGATTAAATACATTAGAGGACAGATTTCTATTGGCTGGCTTCTTTCTTTCAGAGGGGAAAATGTGATTGTTTTACCATAAATAGGTTTCAGAAATGTAATTATTACATTAAAATGGCATATATTAAATGTCCACGTTTTGGCCCCTCGCCATACATCTTTCTTATAGAAAGTCAAATATAAATGGAATAGGCACTTCATATGAGAATGCTCTAAGATATGTCCTTTGCAAAAGCAGGTCTCTTCTTCCTCCTCTTCTTCTTCTTCAAGTATGCTTTGATTTCTGGCTTTTGTTCTTTCTCTGTACTTTTCAAGCTCTTGTATTGCTTTTACTTCAAGTATGTGATATGTCTTTACATGTTGGAGAAAAACAAAGATATGGAAGTTTCAACGTTAAACCTCGTATCTTGTGCCTATTTTGGCTTTTGAATCAAACAGAAGTTCGAAGTCTCGCTGATAATGACCGTTAAGTTGATTATGAATCCACAGAGGATTGAAGCAATTTATGGAGGAAAAGAAAAAACCAGTCTTTCTCTTGCATTTCCATTGAAGCTTTTGTTCGTAGACTTTTGCTCCTTTTCTAGTACAACCATGAACCGTGCCTATCATTTTTACTTGCTTGCAAATAGACTAAGAGTTCTTCATAAATATTAATGATTCATATTTGTATTGTTAATAATCATATTTTTTTTAGCTGAATTGTTAATAATCAATTAAGTTCCTCTGAATCCAACTCATCTTGACAATATTGCCCTCCCTGTCCTTTTGGCATTATTTGTTGGCCTATACAGGCATTAGCTGTCTTTCAGTTTTATCTGCAAATTAAGGATAAATAACGTTTCTGTGCTGAAAAAAAAGTCAATCACCTTTTTCAAGGTTCTATGTAACATACTAAATGAAATTAATGTTCTACTTACTTTTACTATATTATCATTATTATTCTTTATTTGTACTCCCATGTTCTGATAATATGCGTATGTTCATCTTTAGTCTAAATTAAGGTTCTAGTTACTGCACTCAGAGGCGAGCCATTTCAGAAGATGAATTCCCTTTAAGTGACAGTGGAGAGGATGGGGCTTAGTTCCGACAGATACAGAATATCCTTGGTTGTCCTCTGCACAATTTTCCTTATACTATGTGGATTTAGTTATAAATACTCAATTTTTGACCATGTTGGGAGTTTTTCTAAAGATAAGGCATTTGAAGGGAGAGGCCAAAACTTGACACATAAGAATTTGGGATCAATAGTTGAGGCTATTGCAGACTCAGAAGCAGGTAATTTCGCATATTTTCTCAACTTCTGTAAAATATCTCAGTTTTTCATCATTTTGAGAGCTTTTCTAAAGATAAGGAACTTGAAGGGAGAGGCCAAAACTTGACACATGGGAACTTGGGATCAACAATTCAGGCTATTGCAAATTCAGAAGCAGGTAATTTCGCATATTTTTCTCAGATTATGTTAGTTTTACCAATATATACTTTAGTTCTCTTGCTTCATATATTTGTTTTGTTGCTCCCTCCATTTGTTCATCAAATCTGATTTTTACCCTTCCTTTCTGGCAACCCTATTCATTTCTAGAAAATAAATCAAGAAAAGAGTTATTATTAACAACATTCACAATTGAAACATGTCTTCTAAAATGTAAAGGAGAAAGAACGTGGGGTGGGTTCCATCTTTGAGGACCCACATGGAAAGAGCTAGGGCCTATCCATCTCTTTCTCTCTCTTTACTTTAGGAATGGTATAAATTGCTACCTGTTTGGGAGTATTATAGAAAAGTACTTTTTTGCTTTACAAGACAAAACTTCCCTCGGATTTATTTCGTACTATACAAAACCACTTAAAATAAACTATGTTAAGCCCATAAAGGTTTGATTTTGAGGCTCAAAGTTTAAATATGAAGCAAAAAGAATATAATGAATTAAGCTATTTTGAGTAAGATCCAATATTTTTATCAGTTTCAACCACATTCTAAGTTCAAAAAAAAAAAAAAAAACAATAAGTTCAACCAGCGACACTCTGGTGCATCACAAGGGAGCCTTTAACTTTTGCTTGTTGCTGAGGCCACAATAAATTAACAATAATATCAGTACTCTTTACACACACACACACAGACAAATACATATACAAACATATATTGGATTGTTTCAAACCCACATTCAGATGTACTTCTCTAATCAAAGATGAATCACATGGACAAGGCAATGTTCTTGGTTTGTTATGATCCCTAGATAAATGCAGATTAGGTATGTTAAGTCAATTTAGTTAAACTTTCAATTATGCCTCACTCAAATACTCACATGACTAGCTTGATATTTCAGCTCTGTAAATACAGTATTGATGATGCTTTTGTCGTCAAAGCATTCAATTAAACTAGGTCCTAATTAATTTGTAGTTTAAGATCGACCTAGATCATTACTTCCAAGGAGCAAGTTGTGGGTTTCTTTAGGTGAGAATTTAGGTGATAATAAAAAAAGTAATAAATTGGACCTAAACTAAAATGCAAAATTCTAATTCTAAATGCAAGATGCAAATGCCCTAAAATATGTATGAAAATTAAATTAAACTAAATGAATGCAATGCAATTTTTGGGGGGTTTTTTGAAGGAAAATAAAAATAATGAATAAAGAAAATTAATCAGAAAGCAAAGAGAATTAGCAAGTAAAAATTCAGAGATTTCTCTTCAGGTACGGTAGAGGGGACAACTTAGGATTTGCATGGATTTAACCTTCATAACCTTAATCAGTTAATTAGACCAAAGGAAAGTGATAAGAGAGTGGAATTAATAAACTTAATTACCTACTTGAAATAAAGGGAACCCTCAACTTCAAAAACCCTTAAACCATTAGAGAACTCATAACAGTGTAAGGTTGGTTAATTAAGCCTATTAAAACCAATGAAGATAATTCAATTCAATTTTGGAAATTATGTTTGAAATTATCCAATTAAACAATCAGATAATCAACCAACTTAATTAAATAATTAGGAGGTAAAAGAACCCAAATTTTGCAATCCAAACCACACTGATAATTAAATTTATAATGAGAACTCAATTATAACTTCAATTAACAATGTAAAGGTTCTAAACATAAATTCCAACAAGTCTCTCGGCACAAATAAAATCCAAATATCAATCCAATCCAAGCATAAAGATGACAATCTAGAACTAAATTGTCTTAACAAAAATACAACTTAAAATTATTTAAAACTAAATAATTTCAAGTCCTTGAATTAAAAAGATAAATGGAACATCACTCCCTTGTGGTCTTCAAGTGCTAACCCAAGGCTCTAGTCTTTTCCATGCTCCTCCCAAATTGCCTCCCTAACAAGCTTAAGCCTCCATCAAATTGCCTTCTCCTCCAAAATTGTTTGATGCTACGGCCATAAATTGATGAAAGTTGATGATGATGTGGAGATGGAAATTGGATCAAGGAAGAGATGTGAATGAGGGGGAGGAGAGTTGGCGTTGAAAAATTGATGTCCGTGCGTGAGTCAATGGAGAATGGAAAAGAGGTGTCCTTCGGCGAGAATATGGGATCAATGATTAAGGGGTATTAGGCGTTGAATTGTGTGTTCCAATGGAGAAGGAAAGAGTGATCTTTAGGCGTGCCTCCCTCCTCCAAAAATAAGAAAAATAGTATAACGAGGGAAAAGGAAATTTTTTTGTGAATCCAAAGCTCAAGCCCATTAGTAATTAATTGACCCACTTGATATTAGCCATTGGATTGTGCTTAGATTCCAAGAAACAATCTTGCACCATTGGATCTCCTATATACTCTTTCTTGACCTATAAGAATTTAAGTTCATCTATTAATGTAGATTATACCCAAATATAATCAAAAATTAAATATTATATATGCACAAAAATTAGGCAAAAAAGTGCAAAACTTTCTAAATATAATCTTTCTAAAAATATGAGACTTGTTTTCAAAGAAATAGGAAAAATTAATTCCAAGTCAAAAATAGGAAATCACAAAATATCTATATTTTTAATCCTAAATCTCAATTTTTATGCAAAATCCAAAAATCAACCAATTAATCCAATAATGCATAAAAAGTTCATTTAAGCTCAAAATTATTATTTAAATTCTGAATTAATGTGGGATAAAATATATCAAAATTGGGCTTTATCAAGTATCTAAGAATATTACCTCAACTTGCTGTAGCATGTAGTTTTGTCCACAGAACTTATCCATATCTTTTCTCTTACAAATTTTGTAGTTTCAAGAAATTATTCACTCAAAAACTCAACAGAGGATTCATCCCTACTTACCAGAAAGCCTACTGCTGACAAACTGTTTGATGGGCTTTTAACTTCTGCGTTTGATAAAACATCATGCTTAAGCAGGTTTCAGTCCTACTTATACCATAAGGCTTCGCCTCACAAACCGTCTCCCTATCTAATAACCAAGCTTGGCAAATACGAAGATCTCCATAAAAGGTGTGGACCTCATACTAGACTCTACAACAAAACCATAAAAGAGTTGATAAGGCCTAGGAAAAGGGGACATTCTGCAGTATGTAACTACATTGTGTGGACTTCTGTCAATGGCTTGGGGAATAGAATGGTGAGCATGGCTTCAGCATTCCTATACGCTCTCCTCACAGATCGAGTTCTAATGGTGGATTTTGAGGATGAAATGACTGGCCTATTTTGTGAACCATTTCCTAATTCATCATGGCTTTTGCCAAATGATTTTCCTTTCATAAACAAGCCAAGACATATTGAGACATATCAAAACATGATAAAGAAGGATAGAGAAAACAGTTCAGGGAAGGTTTCTCCTTTGGTTCTACATCTATATCTACAGCATACCAGTGATGATTCTGAGAAGTTCTTTCACTGTGATCATAGTCACCGTCTTCTCAGTAAGGTTCCCCTGTTGATATTAAGATCAGATCAGTATTTTGTACCTTCTCTGTTCATAGTTCCATCTTTCAGTCAAGAATTAAGAAAAATGTTCCCTGAAAAAGACACTGTTTTTCACCACTTGGGACGGTACTTATTTCTACCTTCAAATCAGGTGTGGGGAATAATTAACAGATTCTATCAGGCATACATGGCCAGGGCAGATGAGAGAATTGGTCTCCAAATTAGAGTATATCCTGACCTCTCTACAAATCAAGCAAAAATGGATCAAATATTAAGATGCACCCTAAGGAATAATGTATTGCCTGAACTAGACCTGAGAGATTCAGTAACTTCTCCAAGGAAAAACCAAACAAAATCTGTTCTGGTAACATCTTTGTATTCATATTTTAGCGAGAATTTAACGACTATGTATCTGAAAAAACCAACTGTTACTGGGGACATAATAGGAGTTTATCAGCCAAGTCATGAAAAGAAGCAGAAGTCTCATGACAACATGCACAATGTAAAGGCTTTGACTGAAATATATCTGCTTAGTATGTGTGATGTATTGGTGACTAGCTCTATATCTTCTTTTGGGTATGTGGCTCAAAGTTTGGGAGGCTCGAAGCCATGGATTCTTCACAAGTTATTAGACAATAACGTCCCAGATCCTCCTTGTGTGCGAGACTTCTCCATGGAGCCATGTTTTCATTATCCACCTAAGCATGACTGTACGGCAAAGCCTATGGACGAAAATGGCAAAGCTTTTCCTTATACAAGACCATGTTTGGACCAAAGAATTGGAATGAAGCTGGTTAATGATCGTGAGTAGCTATTACTTGTTATTCATAACTATCTGTCATTATATCATAATTTGTTTGATAATGTATGTTGAGAAAATCCGGCAAACATATTGTTTTGCTCAGTAATGCACTTAGCCATCATGAAAGTTCATTTCTCATTTTGAACTACCTTGATTGTTCATATTCCGAAATAATATATATATTCACCGCATGAAAATATGAAATTAAAACATGTTTCAAACATTACAATGTTGTAATGCCATTTTTAAAGGTGTACGTTAGTGTTGCAAGAAACATTTGTGGATGTTACGGCCAAGAAAGGAAGAAATCGTATTCAGCTACGAGTAAAGACATCAGTTTTTGGTTCTTTTTTTAAACTAAAATTTATGACCTAATCATATATTTTAATTAATCTTAGAATATTTGTTATATTGGTGTGTTTTATTGATCTACTTGAAAGGTGCTTCATTTTCAACCTTCGCAAATACTGCACCGACAAGTTTGATTAGAAATTCCTCTGAAAAACTATTTGACTGTCTTCTAGCTTATGGGTTTGATTAAGAATCATGCACATAACATGCGAAACCTCACATTTGAAAAAGGAAATCGCAAAGGTCACACTGTAAAACTTGAACTAGACTTACATCAAAACCATGAAAAACCTAAAATTCTACGTTCCAAGGTTCTGCCACAAATGTACGTAGGCTACCGTGTAGAATTTAGTGCCTTCTACCAGAGTAAATCCCAATTTGAATAGCACAACACATTATATGTTTAAACAACTCATGATACACTAAAGTACATAAAACATCACATGCACTTATAATGCAACTAATAGGTTTACAATGAGGTTGAAGTGAAGTGAAGTGACATAAATGTTCACTCGTTGCACAAGTCAGCAAGTCTAAAGGTCTTGTGCAATTTATTCAAACTCTTGTGAATTCTACCAGAATACATCTTTAAGATATGGATACAAACATCTATAGAGACATGTATCAATGTAATAAAACCACAACCTTCGCCAGTATGGTTTGATCCAAAGAACTGTTGCCATAATAACCAACACCGTGACATAGCATGCTGAAAAACTCCAAATGAAGGAAATGAAATCTATGGCAGATTCATCTTCCTTTGTATCTGTTGAGAGGAGATGGTGGGGCTGGTTCATGTGTAGAGTTACCTCTGTTGCTATGATTCCAAATGAGATAATGATTTCCTATAAAGCTGCTGTCATCAAAGGTTAAACCATTAGGCACTGTACCAGACAAATTGTTGTAGGACACATTGAATACACCTAGAAAGTTCAAGTCCTGTAACTGAATAGGGATTTCTCCTTCCAAGTTGTTGTTTGAGAGGTCTATGCTCTCGATATCTGCAAGATTGTGGAAACTTTCTGGAATTGATCCATTCAGATTATTGTGAGATAAGTTTAATGCATGAAGGGATTCCAGATATCCAATCTCTTGAGGGATTTTTCCAGTTAACTGGTTGCTTGACAAATCTATTCCAGACATAAACCTCAAAATGTTACCTTTGTATGGAAGCAGCAAATTTCTGGTCATAAAATCTACTTGGAGTCCACTGGCTATTGCTGCCATAGAATATCTTTGTTCAAAAAAGAGTTGCAAATGAAGGGGATTATAGTAATACAAGAAATCCGAAGAATAAAATGATATACCATACTCGATATTTCTGTCTGTCCGTTCTCCAAATGAAACATTGTTGAAGCAAGTAGGAATATTTCCAGTCAAGTTATTACTTGACAGGTCCAAAAAGTTCATTCTCTTTAGCTGGCACAACTGGTTAGGAAGCTGCCCATGTAGCTGGTTACCTCCCAGTAAAAGAGCTCTTAATGACTTCGCCTTCACAATCCAATCTGGAATAACTCCAGATAACTTGTTATCCCTCAAATCAAGTGTTGATAGATGATCAACAGATGTCATTGATGTAGGAATGGAACCTACAAGGCTATTGCCTTGTAGCTGTAGAGATGTCAAACCAATATTCGAATAGCAAGCTGGTATTGTGCCCGACAATTTATTATGAGAGAGGTGCAAATGCCAAAGGTCTTGTTTGCATAACTGTGTGGGTAGTGCACCAGTAAAATTATTTTTTGACAAGTTTATCACTCGTAAAGATGAAGAGTCGGTGATGAGAGTAGGAACCATACCCCAGAGACTGTTGTTAGAGATATCTAACGCTTCAAGATTTGGGAGGTTCCATATTTCATGTTCCAGTGTCCCACTAAGGCAGTTGCTGTCCAGGAACACCAATTGTAGAGAGGAAGATTTGAAGTGAGAAGAAAATAATTTTCCCTGTAACTTATTATGCGACAAAATCAAGTACCTTAGTGAAGCACAGCCTTCCCACAAAGACTCGGGAACTTGACCAGAAAAGTTGTTTCTGCTCAAGTTCAAGGTTAACAACTTGGACATGTTTGCTATTGATGGAGGAATACTGCCATTAAGTCCATTTCCTGACACATTTAAATATTCCAAATTTGGAAACATTAGTCCAATATTTCCGGGAAGTCTACCCTCCATTTTGTTGTTGGATAACTGCAAGTTGATCAAGGGATGTGGAGAAGGTTGATCTATGGAGGTTGGCAGCTCAAAAGATCCTGTGAACTTGTTGTGATGTAAAATCATCGACCTGAGGTTTGCGTTGCTGAGAATCAACCAGTTTGGGAACACTCCAACCAAATCATTTTTTGAGAGATCAAGATAGCGCAAGTCATGTTGGTGCAAGAGAAAGGAGGGGAAGGTTCCACAAGGTGAATTCACTTTGCAACTTGCCAACTGCAAAACTTGCAATTGAAACAAAGGGACCCAATATGGAACTTCTTCACTTTCAGTGTTTACTTGAAACTCACTGTTATACATTTGAAGTGCAAGTACCTTAAGCCGTGAATTATTGGTGAAGGAACTCAAAGGGAATAAGCCTCTGAAATTGTTGTTCATAGCAGAAAAGTACTCAAGAGATGTGAGGCTGGCTATGGCAGACGCTGGTATTTGCCCCGTTAGGTAATTTCTTGAGAGATCAAGAGCTTGAAGAGATGTCAAGTTGGCCAAGCATTTGTGCAAGGAACCTCCGAATGTATTGTCACTAAAATCCAGTACACGTATCTTCTTCAGTTTGCATATATCTGTGGCGAAAAATACTCAAAATGTTGTTCTCATAATTAATAAATGAAGCTGAAGCTAAAATAACTTTTTGGGATTGTGAATCTGATATGACATGTATACCTTGAAATGGCAGAGATCCATCAATGTGATTGCTCTTCAATATAAGGACTTCCAAGTTGCTTAGATTAGCCAAAACTATATAGAAATAAAGTGAAATGCAAATTTAATTATTATTGTCATTATTAGCTTATTGTAAATATTAATTTTGCCATTAATCTGCTAACGCATACTAATTATATATGAAGCGTTGAAATAACCTCCACTTTTTCATCACATAATAGAGAGCTCTCAAATTGGATTTAGGTCAATAAAATTTAGAGCGTAAATAGTTTTTCATCAATCAGGATTTAAGAATGGATCATATATATAGACGGCAAAATGAAGCTATACTCTTTATATAGATGCAAAAACAAAAGAAATGTAGACGTATAAATAGCATAAATGATCCGTTTTTTTACAATAGTCATGAAATTCTTGGTCATAAATTTTTAGAAAGAGTATACGTAATTTTTATCTTTGAAATTTGGACATATTTAGGTTTTTGTCCCTTAGATTTCAAACTCGTAGTTTTAGTCCTAGAAATTTAGTTGCCTTAAAACATAAGTATCTGGAGATGCAACGGTGTTAACTTCTAAAGTGTTATAGACGGAGTTAAAGTGATGACTTGGAATCATCAGACAACACATATCTGAATCTTGTATAGACAATACAGGATTAAAGAAAAAGAATAGATTCTCAAAACGTAATTGTTTAACCTCTCTTTTTCCTTATTGTTCATTTAAGGAGTTGTTTGGTATACTATGTCCTCTGTACAATCGTTCTTTGTATTGCATTTTGAGGACTTGTTCTGTTTTTTTTCCCTATTATCCACACAAGATTCAATTAGGCGTTATATGATGATTTTACGTTATCACTTTAATGGTATTTAAAATGATTCAGTAGATTTTAACACTATTATACCGTTCAAGACTAATATTTTGACATGGACTAAATTTTAGAGATTAAAATTATGAGTTTGAAATTTGAAAGACCAAAACTAATATAGGCCCAAATTTCAGGGGTCAAAAATTATATTAACCAATTTAAAAAATAAAATTATATAGTTCATGAAACATAGAGACTAAAGTTTAAAATGATTAAAGCTATAAGTCAAAAAATTTAAGAACCAAGTTTCAACCGAGTCCAAATCAAAATTAAAGCAGTTGGATTGCACCGAGTCAAACTTTAAAGACTTAGTTACAATAGAGTCAAACTAATAGAAATTAAAGGATTAATTTTTCCAATATATTAGATAAAAAAAAGTTTTGTCCCTATAACATCACGCATAAGTAGTACTCATCCGATCCTTAATATAAAACCTATTTAACTAATTTGATTAGATTAAAAAAATTAAGTAAATTAGTTAATTATAAGAAAAGTGACACATTTTTCCTAAAACATCATAATCATCTTTTTTAGTACCCTCTCTCCTTCTTCTACTTAATTATGATTGAAGGAGTATTCATAGGGGTAATTCAGAAAAAACTGATAAAGATAAGAAATTGGTCTTATATTTAGGAAAAAACCAACTCAAGAATTGGATCCTATATTAAAGACTGCAGGAGTATGACTATAATAATCACCACATTCATGCACAAAAGCAAGATAACGTGGAAGAACATAAACACATCAACTACGTACAAGACAACTATGACGACCAACCATACATAATAAGGACAGACTACAACCGGAGATTGAGGACGACAAAGATGAGACAACAAGTGGCTTCTAGTTGCATGAGAAAATCCTGAAAAAATGTGAAGAGATTATTGTACCTGCGGTGTTTATCAGTCTTGAAATTGACCTTGGGAGAAGTTGAGGCTTGTCACCTCCTCGAAGCTTTGGAACAAGGAGAAATCTATGGAACCCATTATAGGGTTAACGAAGCTATGCTCACCAGAAGGCCGGTAATTAAGAGCCTGGAGAGAAAGCTCAGAAACACGACCAGAAAAAACATGGCACCTGACCCTATTCCAGCTGCAACAATCACTGTTTGGATCAACGGTAACCCAGGAAGATAAACGCTTCTCCACAAGAGGATCACTCTCGTAGAGATTAAGAAGATAAGCTTTAATATTGAGCAGTGCTTCTCTCTCTTCTCTCACGCAACATTTGGTTCCAAGTGTTTGAGCCCAAACCACAAAACTCACCAACAGTACCCACAATCTCAGTTCCATTTTTATCAAACTCTTGAGTTTCAGATATGAAATGCATGGCTCCCTCTCATATGTGCGTGCGTGTGTGTGTGTCAGACGACGTCTCTCTACCTGTTTTTCTTACTTACAAGACACCTTGTAAGTTGTAACACTCCAACCTACTTTACTTTTTATATTTATGATTATTTTCACAATATATCCTTATTCATTATACAGACTTGGGGGGTTTTTAGGGTAGTTTAAAATGCATCTACGTTTTTAATCAAATACATATATCTTTTTATTGAAGACCTATTCAGAACACTATTAAGTATATTAAATATGGACATATCTTTCAGTAAAAATCTGAATCTTGATGTGTTGTGTTTTGAGAAACTAGTCTATTCGGCTAAATCCAACTCCATTTGTTAATGCACATAATTAAAAAAGATATTTTAAGAAAATCAACACAAGTTTGTTATAAATAATTAATTTAATTAATTTTTTTAATATTTTCAAATTAGTTATTCAGTTTTTATATTAAAGACTATAAGCAGTAATATGATTTTCTTTTTGTTGAGAAAATTATAATCAAATTTATAAGAAGTTAAAAGTTATCATTTTGTTATTATTTCCTACTCTAACTTGTCATTATTATTGATACTTTATAATAATTATATTCTTTTTTAAGACTTCAGGATTTTCTCACATTTCTCCTTTTTCTTCCGTGCAAGTCGGATTGATGGTACAGGAGTCAAGTCATTAATGCATGAGTCCACGAAATTTCAGAGACGCGTTATTGAAGAAAAAGTCTATGTGACGGTGGAAATTGAAGCTCCACGTCCAGATTTTTCTTTGTTAATCTGACAAAACTAAATAGTTTGGTAAATCTTGGCTCAAAAAAAAAAAAGTTTGGTCAATCATTTACGCTTTCAAAATTTTCAAGACTCAATTGTATATAATATACGACCCCAAGTGCACGCTAATCATAACAGTCACCCTATATTTTTAATTTACGGCGCGTACCTGTCCTTTGGGCCATATGTACTCTTTCTGTCATCTTTTATAAACAATTTTGGATAACTTTAGACTTTAATATGTAGATTAAAAAATTAGTTAAATATAATAAATAGATAAAAATTAAAAGTTCTTTTCAAAATATTCTTATTTATCAGAGAGCTCATAAAAAAAGAATAAAAAATTATTATAATAAAGAGAATTATAAAAGAGAGAATGTGTCATAAACATAAATGATTGGAAAATGATATAGGAAATATATTAATTATTCAAATAAGTAATTAATAAGAGTAGAATAAAAAATTTGCTACAAAAATTTAAGATAATTTGTAAATATTACTTATATTTAAAGACAAAAGATGAATGATAATTGTTGCTTATTAAAAGAAACAGAGGAAGTATATATGAACTTTTTAGTTTGTTTCTTTAAGATCTCAAACTTCAAAAAGGTATATAAGCTTTAAATAACTAAATCACGTTTAATAAATTAGCAGGTAAAATTAGTTAAAAGTAATAAATAGGTCAGAAATATTTTTTTTTTAAATTTGCTCTTATTTATTAAGAGAGTAAATGAGAGATATAATAAATAAAAAGAATGATAAAAGAAAATATATAGAGATAATATTAACAAGAGAGATAAAATATTAAATAAAGTCAACTAAGAACAAAATAAAAATAAATAAATACTCAGACAAATTTAAAAATAAAAAACTTATATTTTTAACTAGATTTTTTTCAAAAGTAAAGTTTACATATGGAATTAGAGGGAGCTGCTAAGGCAGCCGCAAATGTTGATAAATCTTTTGTTGTTTTTCACATTATTCTGTTGAGACTGACAACAAAGACCTCTCATTTAATTAAAGTCGGTGCTTGGTAGAGGCAGCAAAGAACATCGATCTCTGAAGTTTGGTATTCTTCCGGTCTTAAATATAATATTAATTTTATAGTATAATTTATATTATAAAATAAGTCTTATATTTAGAATCAGAAGAGCACTACATTAGAATGTTAGTGCTGATCAAATAAAATATTAGGAGAATCATAATGAAATTTTAAAAAAATAATTATCAGTAATTTTAATAATAAGTAAGTAGTTTTTATTTATTATTCTTAAACTTATTATTATAGATTATTCTGTTATTACTAAAAAAATTTAATAATTATGTTTTTTACCTAGGACTTTCACAGCAATCTTTATAGTAATATTGTCGTTTACTTTTTGTTCTTTGTTCTACCTACTTTTACAAAATGTGTACACACGCTTGGATGAGCTGTCATTTATTTATAAAGATAATTGATAATCTTAATATTTTCAAAAACCATAGTCTTTTTTTCTAACATTGCCTTTGTTAGTTATTGGAAACGGTGAGATAAAAGGTGAACATGTCTTCACCCACTTTTACATATGTTGAATAGAGATGTATATTTGACAATAACTCATAAATATCACTACCTCTGGTTTAGGTTACAAACAAGAAGTTTACTTTTAAATTTATAATTTGTGCTCTAGTAGTACCCTTATTGATTGCTATGATAAGAGGTTTCTATTAGACGGTGGTAATATTGCATATAAACAGAAAGAGTATTTTAAGAAAATTAACATACATTTATTATAAATAATTAATTTAATTAATTTTTAATGTCTGAAAATTAATTATCTAACTATTATATTAAAAACTGAAATAAAAAGGTACAAAATAACGGTCTTATACATTCGACCAGGAGAAATAATGAAACATGGGCTAATTTTGTTAAGATTTTTTCCATTTGGCATAAAAAAAACTAATTAGATAAAAAAGGCGAATGACATTTATATATAAAAGATTAATTTAGTAATAGTTAGGTTCCAAAAAATTTTTGTTACAAGATAAGTTGCAAATGTCAATTGTTCAATTGCAAATACGGCAATCCCAATTATAAATAAGACGTTTATATTTCATAAATTATTGACAATCCTTAATTTTACAACTATATTACTTCGTATTTCTAATTTAGAATCCTAAATTTACAGCTATGTTAACCGATATTTGTAATTCATTTCTCGTTAATTTTTTTAAAATGTCCAAATCGTAATTAAATTCAATTTCTGGAACATCCTCCTTCAGAATTTTAGTATATGGTACAAAATATCCACACACAAAAAAAATGGATGTTAAAATTTCAATTGAAAAAACAGGATGATTGCTAGACTTTCAGACTTTCAATACATATGTGACACATTATATGCTTCAACTACCAGAAATTTTTGTCAACAAAAAAGACATTTTACCATTTTTAAAATTATACATATGCAGCTGCAAGTGACTCAACAACATTGTGTCACTTTCTGCTTGAACTACAACATTATTAAACACATATAGCGAAACAAAAACAAAAACCAAAAAAATGGATACCTCATTAAACTTGGGCTAAAATATACATAAAGCCCTCAACTTTAGGTTAATTGCATATAACCCTTTATCTTTGATAGATGAAATTCCATACCCTCATCCTTAAAATTTTGACACAAACTCCCTGCCGATGGTTAGATTTAGAGGAATTTATACTTGGCAAATTTACTGTAATATTAAAACCAACCACTTTAGTATAAAGGGAATTTTAAGAAACTTAATTAACTAGGGTCGCAGTGTACTCCTTGTCAAGACACCTTTTAGAAAGATACGAATGGTCCTTATTAAAAGTGATGTATTAAGTTTTTTCAATATCACTCATATTTAAAGTCAATAACTATGACAGAAAATATGCTACAAATATGAAAAAAAAAATTTAGGTTTAATATTATTTCTGGCCCTTCAAATATGCTTTTATTTCGATTTTGGTCCTTCAAATTCCAAACCATAAGTTTTGATATCTCCTGGGATAAAATAGTCCAGGTTTTTATTGAATTATAGAAACTAATATTTTGAATAAAGGAGAAAAAAACTTGAAGGACCAAAACTAAAATGAGGACAATTTTGAGAAACTAAAAATTTTATTAACCTAATTTTTTTGTTATTTAAATTTGGGCAAATCAGAAATATATTTTATTTTCTGGAAGTGAGATGAGATGGTAATTAATCTTCCATAGCAAAATCCCCGTAAGCCTAGAAAAGTACCAATAATGAGAAAGGAAATCTCAAGCTGTTACCTGTTAGGATTAGGAAATGTTTCTTGGAGTCACTGTGTTGTACATCGAGATTTACATGTGTTATGTATGAAGTTTTCAACTAGGTATGTCTTAGTAAATAGAGATCTATGTCTTCTGTTGCTGAGTAATGTTGCTGCTTCTTTAACTTTTAGACTGTAACGTTCGTTGTTCGAGTTGTATCTTAAATTTTTTTTTTTAAAAAAAAAAAAGTGTAGAGAAACCCACAAAATATATTTCAGCAAGTTGAAAGCTTAGCTTGCCGCATAGATTACAGAGACAAAACAGTAATAGAGTTCACTTACAACACAAGTCAACAAGTCTAAAGTTCTTGCGCAACTTATTCAAACACTTGCGAATTCTACCAGAATGCATCTTTAAGATATGGATACAAACATCTATAGAGACATGTATCAATGTAATAAAACCACAATCTTCGCCAGTATGGGTTGATCCAAAGAACTGTTGCCATAATAACCAACACCGCGACATAGCATGCTGAAAAACTCCAAATGAAGGAAATGAAATCTATGGCAGATTCATCTTCCTTTGTATCATTGTTGAGAGGAGATGGTGGGGGTGGTTCATGTGTAGAGTTACCTCTGTTGCTATGATTCCAAATGAGATAATGATTTCCTATAAAGCTGCTGTCATCAAAGGTTAAACCATTAGGCACTGTACCTGACAAATTGTTGTAGGACACATTGAATACACCTAGAAAGTTCAAGTCCTGTAACTGAATAGGGATTTCTCCTTCCAAGTTGTTGTTTGAGAGGTCTATGCTCTCTATATCTGCAAGATTGTGGAAACTTTCTGGAATTGATCCATTCAGATTATTGTGAGATAAGTTTAATGCATGAAGGGATTCCAGATATCCAATCTCTTGAGGGATTTTTCCAGTTAACTGGTTGCTTGACAAATCTATTCCAGACATAAACCTCAAAATGTTACCTTTGTATGGAAGCAGCAAATTTTTTGTCATAAAATCTACTTGGAGTCCACTGGCTATTGCTGTCATAAAATACTGATTTTGTTCAAAGAATAGCTGAAGTTGAAGTGGAGCATACTGATAATGGGAATCTGAAGGGATTATTATCCTATCATACTCAGGAAATCTGTAATCCCATGCTCCAAATAAGACTTTGTCAAAGCAAGTAGGAATATTCCCAGTGAAGTTATTACGTGACAGATCCAAAAAATTCATCATCTTGGGCTGACACAACTGGCTAGGAAGTTGGCCTTGTAGCTGATTACCACCCAGTAGAAGAGATCTCAATGAATTCATCCTAAAAATCCCATCTGGAATAACTCCAGAGAGATCGTTGTCCCTCAAATCAAGTGCCACTAAGTAGCTACCTGTTCTCATTAAGGTAGGAATGGAACCTGAAAGAAAATTGCCTTGCAACTGAAGAGAGGACAAATCTATATTCAAATAGCAAGCCGGTATTGAACCTGAGAGTTTATTATGAGAAAGCTGCAAATGCAAGAGGTCAAGTTTGCAGAACTCTCTGGGTGGCGTACCAGTGAAGTTATTTCTTGACAAGTTTATCACTCGTAAATATGAAGAGCTGATGAAAGTAGGAACCCTACCCCAGAAACTGTTGTTAGAGATATCTAACGCATCAAGATTTGGGAGGTTCCATGTTTCATGTTCCAGTGTCCCACTGAGGTAGTTGCTGTCCAAGAAAAACCATCGCAGAGAGGAAGAGTTCAACTGAGAAGCAAATAAATTTCCCTCTAAGTTGTTTTGTGACAAGATCAAGTATGTTAATGAAGCACAGCCTTCCCAGAAAGACTCTGGAACTTGACCATAAAATCTGTTTCTGCTTAAGTCCAAAGCAATCAAATTGGACATGTTTGCTATTGATGGAGGAATACCTCCACTAAATCCAGTTCCTGACACATTTAAATATTCGAAATTTAGAAACACTAGGCCAATATTTGTGGGGAGTTGACCCTCCATTTTGTTGTCAGATAGCTGCAAATTAGTCAAGGGAAGTGGAGGAGGTTGATCTACGTAGGTTGGCAGCTCAAAAGACCCTGTGAACTTGTTGTGATGTAAAATCAAAGACGTGAGGTTTGTGTTGTTGAGAATCAACCAGTTTGGGAACGCTCCAAACAAATCATTGTTTGAGAGGTCAAGATAGTGCAAGTCATGTTGATACAAGAGAAAGGAGGGGAAGGTTCCACTAGGTGCGTTTACTTTGCAATTTGCCAAGTCCAAAACTTGCAATTGAAATAAAGGGACCAAATAAGGAACAACTTCACTTTCAGTATCCACTTGAAACTCACTGTTATACATTTGAAGTGCAAGTACCTTAAGCCGTGAATTATTAGTGAAGGAACTCAAAGGGAATATGCCTTTGAAATAGTTACTCATAGCAGAAAAGTACTCAAGAGATGTGAGGCTGGCTATGGCGGACGCTGGTATTTCCCCTGATAGGACATTACTTGAGAGATCAAGAGCTTGAAGAGATGTCAAGTTGGCCAAACATTTGTTCAAGGAACCATTAAATGCATTGTGACTAAAATCCAGCACACGTATCTTCTTCAGTTTACATATATCTGTGACCAAAAGTACTCAAGTGTCGCTAAAGCAAATAAATGAAGCAGAAGCTAGAATAACTTCCAAGGAAGATAAATCCTATATGACTTGCGTACCTTGAAATGGTAAAGATCCAATAAGATTATTGCTCTTCAATATGAGGACTTCCAGGTTGCTTAGATTAGCCAAAACTATATAGAAATGAAGTGAAATGCAAATTTTATTATTAGCTTATTGTAAATAGTAATTGGCCATTAATCTGACACATGCTAATTAATATGAAGCCTTGAAATAACCTCCACCTTTTCATCACATAAAGAACTCTGAAATCGGGATTTAGTTAAACAAACTTTAGAACATAAATAGTTGATCCTTTTCATAAATCAGTATTTAAGAATGAATCATATATATGGCGGCAATGCCCAGATGTAAAATATATTCAATATAAGATGCTCTTACCAAAACAAAAACAAAATTTAAAGCCTAGATTGGAGAACTCAAAATGTGGACCAACCAGCCCCTAATGGGCTTGCCCATGGTGGGTTAAAGGTATTAATAAGAAATGGTTTTTTTGTTGTTTTTGGATGAATTGAAATCCACCCCATTAAGGTTCGGCTTCAATATTTTGTTAAGAATTCCTCAAAATTAAACATCATTAAATTTGGGCGAAACATACATTTAAAAAACAGATCCTTGATTAAAAAAACTTGAACAAATTATTAAGTTGATACAAAACAATCCCACATTCTACACAATTAAGGTGTTTTTATTCATTCTTTTTTTTTAACCAAATAAGAAGATATGTTCATTGATAAAAAAAATTAATCTTTTCATCTGTTAAGTTTTGACTCAGTTATGATTCAGTTCGTCAATTATAACTCAGTACAACTTAACTCTTTAACTTTTAAGAATGTTGCCGATTTGCTTTTGATTTTCAGAGCCAGTGGGGTTTACTTTAAAAACCCATTGGCATTTTTTAACACTCTTAGCAATACCTATTGCATGTAAGATCAATTCATTAAATGTGGAAAAAAAATTAGGAACTAACTTTTAAACAAGTTAAAAGTTTAAAAACTGAATCATACCGGATTATAGTTGAGAGACTAAGTCCAACTAAGTCAAAACTTAAAAAACCAAAAGATTAATTTTCCCAATAAAAAACGAAGGCAAAGAAAGCCTAATATAGAAGACTAACAAAAAAAGGCCATCAAGCTAACATACAAGTTATATTTTTATATGTTTATTTTCTTCAACCAATTTTAAGCAAACTTTTTAATTTACGTAATTCCGTTGGCTGTAAAAGGAGCAGAAAGAGTATGAGATTGTTGTACCTTGAGTGCTTATGAGCCTGAAAAATTGACCTTGGGAGAAATTGAGGCTTGTCACCTCCTTGAAGCTTTGGAACAAGGAGAAATCAATGGGAGGCAATGGAGGGAGGCCAGGGAGGTCAGGTACACCAACAACAGGCTTTTCATCATTATGAAGAGAAGCCGCAGAGAAACCAAATGCTCCATCAGAACGCCTGTAATTAAGAGCTTGGAGAGAAATCTCAGAAACACGACCAGAAGAAACATGGCACGTAACCCTATCCCATCTGCAACAGTCACTGTTTGGATCATCAGTAACCCAGGAAGATAAACGCTTCTCCACAAGAGGATCATTATGGTAGACATCAAGAACATAAGCCTTAAGATTGAGCAGTGCTTCTCTCTCTTCTCTCACACAACATTTGATTCCCAGTATTTGTGCCAAAACACAAAAACTCATCACCCACAATACCCACCTTTTCACTTCCATTTTTACCAAACTATATTGAGATTCAGAGACATGAAATTCATGGCTTCTTCTTATATATAAGTCACGAGAGGTCTCTTTCTATCTGTTTCTTTATTTACTTCCAAGTTTCTATGATGTTTTTCTTCCCTGCACAGGAGGAGTCAAGTCATTAACGCATGAGTTCACGAAATTTCAGAAACGCCTTATTTATGCGTCGTAGAAAAAGTCTTGCTGATGGTAGAAATTGAAGCTGCATGCCCAGATTTTTCTTTGTTACACTGACAAATTGCTAGATCGTTTGGTCAATCAAATTGAAAAACTTGTCCTTGAGTCGATATATATACACCTTTAAAATTTTCAACACTTGGATGTGCATGGCCCGAACCCCAGTGTACGTTAATCATCATAGTCAATCTATATACTTTATGGGGCGTGCGTCTCGTTTGGGTTTTGAATTTTTCAAGTTGAGTTTAAGATTACAAACTTCAAAAAATGTATGTAGGGATGAGCACTTGAAGATGAGTAATGAGAACACGGATATACGGATATACTACTCTGATCCTTAATAATACTAAATTAGAGATATCAAAAAAGTTACTAAATTACTTAATTATAACATGTGTTATTACATGATTTTTTTAAAATATTTTTGTAAATCATTAGATTATATATCAATTTATAAGTGAGACAGATTAGTTTTAAAAAAAATAAATATAAATAGTTTTAAGTAATTTAATAATTTTTTAAATTTCTTTTAGTTAGTCAAATAAGTTATATATTAAGAATGTGTAGTTGAGCGGTAGGGGTTTATCCTCTCTTAATCATAATCAAGGGTTTGATCTCTACTTGGATATGGAAAGTGTTAAATCTCCTGGCTAATTATCATATCCTTCAAGTTGCCTACAAATTAGCGAATTCGAATTAGTCTGAACCGTTTGATGTATCTAAAAGATGGTCTGTTTAGGATAGTGGATGAGATTATTTGAAAAAAAGATGGCGCGTATAGTATATCTCACAAGAAGACAGCCTCAAATATTGACGAATCTTTTGTTGTTTTGAGACTGACAGGTGACAAGGAAGAGCTCTCATCTAATAGACGCAGCACTTGTTAGGGCAGCAAAGAACATCATCGATCTCTGAAGTTTAGTACAATATATTAGAATGTTA